GTTCTGGCTTTAATTGGATGTTGTTTGTTGTCAATCAAATACGTATGAATGAGCAAGTTACTGAAATTTACAAAAAAGAATTTTCTTTTCCAACGGTCTACTATGAAAACTTAAAGCCAAGTGGCAAGTGGCATTCTAGCCGAGCGCCAGGCACTTAAGCAAGATAAGTGGCAGCTGGCACTATAAGCCGAACGCCAGACACTTGCTAAAAACTTAAAGCCAAGTGGCAAGTGGCATTCTAGCCGAGCGCCAGGCACTTAAGCAAGATAAGTGGCAGCTGGCACTATAAGCCGAACGCCAGACACTTGCTAAAAACTTAAAGCTAAAAACTTAAAGCCAAGTGGCAAGTGGCATTCTAGCCGAGCGCCAGGCACTTGAGCAAGATAAGTGGCAGCTGGCACTATAAGCCGAACGCCAGACACTTGCTAAAAACTTAAAGCCAAGTGGCAAGTGGCATTCTAGCCGAGCGCCAGGCACTTAAGCAAGATAAGTGGCAGCTGGCACTATAAGCCGAACGCCAGACACTTGCTAAAAACTTAAAGCCAAGTGGCAAGTGGCATTCTAGCCGAGCGCCAGGCACTTAAGCAAGATAAGTGGCAGCTGGCACTATAAGCCGAACGCCAGACACTTGCTAAAAACTTAAAGCCAAGTGGCAAGTGGCATTCTAGCCGAGCGCCAGGCACTTAAGCAAGATAAGTGGCAGCTGGCACTATAAGCCGAACGCCAGACACTTGCTAAAAACTTAAAGCCAAGTGGCAAGTGGCATTCTAGCCGAGCGCCAGGCACTTAAGCAAGATAAGTGGCAGCTGGCACTATAAGCCGAACGCCAGACACTTACTAAAAACTTAAAGCCAAGTGGCAAGTGGCATCCTAGCCGAGCGCCAGGCACTTGCTAAAAACTTAAAGCCAAGTGGCACGTGCCATAAACAAACACACGGCAAAGCTAATATAAAAGAAAAAGAGAGAAAAGATATGTATGTACTGAAGATGAGTTGAATAGAGCACAACACATAGGGAAAAAGAGTTCTGTCGTTTCATTAATATTGAACATTGAGTTTACAAAAGAGAGATGTCCATCATTACAAGAAGATATGAAATGGAAGAATTCGAAGGAGCCCTAGCTAGACGCCTCAGTACCAACAGCATCCTGGTCGTGCCGACTCGCCTCCTCGGCCCCATCAGCCGCCTCACCTTCATGAGGTGGGGAATCAAGGTGAATGACTGAATCGTTCGGCTGGAGTTCAGCGTCAGCAGTGGCTATGGAAGGAACCACGGTTGACGATTGAGGAGCGGTCAGTGGCAGAGCGGTAGGAGGAGCTGTGATGATCCTTGAGGATGCGATGTCCTGGCACTCATCAAATATACGCTCCGCTTCGGTGGGTTCTGGGTCGATATAGACCCCCAGAGGTTCGATCCCCAGATCCTTGTCTACCTCATCCGGAGTGGAGCTGGTCTGTCCCTCATCCGGAACCCGGTCGGCGAAACCTTCCCGGAATCCTTGAGCATACCTAAGAGCACCGACCCTTGAGAACCGAGCGTGAAGGGCCAGCATCCCACCACCCACTCTGCTGATCGCGTCGATCAGAGCGGTACGCTCGTCCAGAGCTCTTTTTTCAAAAGCCATCCGAGCAGACTGTTCATCAGCTAGAAGGCGCTGGAGTTCTGCCTTCTCTTCTCTAATTGATTCCCGCTCGGTCTGCCAGACGCTCTTCTCAAGCTGGAGGGCGTCCTTCTCATCCTGAAGGGAATCATTCTCCTTCTTCAGGACATCTCTCTCTTGCTCGGTTTTGTCAAGCCGAACCAGCACCTCGGTATTCTTCATGGCAAGGAGGTCGTTTTCTTTATTAGCCACCTCCAGGCTGTCAGAATACTTACGGGCCCTGGCGTTCCCCATCTCCACCTGCTTCTGCATGGCCATCATCCCGAACAATGCTGCATAGGTGCACATTAAAAACGGTTAAACCAATAGTCAGAACGGGCGAAGGCAAGACCAAGTAATATGAGAGAATTCATGAGTTAGAAAATAAAAGTCACCTCCATAGCAGATTGGGGAAAGCGGCTGAACACATCCTTCTGGGAAAGGCCCTTTGCCGCCTCAAGGTCCTTCGGAGTCCACATGCTCCTGTAGTAGGCCATAGCGGTCTGGCCATCCTTCAGCATGGTCTCGTTCGGTTTCACGAACGTCCCATCCGTTCGGGTGTACCGAGGGGCCCATGGCGGTAAGCTGGGGATAGAAGGGGGGCCTGAAGCAGAAGCAGAGCCACCAGCTGCAGGAGGCCCAGAGGGAGAAGGAGCTCTGATCGCTCGGTGCAAGAGAGCACCCGGCCCAGAGACCCGGGTCCTTCTAATGAGAGGCTCCTCCTCAGGATCGATTTCACTGTCAGGATGAGGCCTTTTGCCTCGTTCTTTGTCCCGACCGCCCCCCGCAGCAGCAGGAGCTATGGTAGCTGGGGAGGACGCGTTCTGGTTGGCAGCAGGGGCGCTGGCAACAGGGTTGGTAGCCACTGCGCTCGGGACAGTGTCAGATATGGTGGCTGAAGAAGAAGCTGACGCTGGAGAGGAGGTCGCCCCAGCAGCAGGAGTGGCTGGGGGAGTATTTTTCCTCCTGCCAAAAGAGGGAATCTGAAGTCTGCTCATGTTGTAGCCGAGTGATGAGAGCGCTAAGAGGTTGTCTGAAGTGAGGAGATCTGAGCAGGAAGGAATATCGTTCAGAACGTATCTCTTCAAGTAGTTACTCCTATCCCTGCAAACAATATAGCTCAAGTCATCACAAGGTATTCCCAAGGAGCGGCATAAGAAAGTGCAAAAACGAGGAACGCATGTTTCACAGGGGCAGTCATGTTTATGGGATTTGAATTTTTTATAGGAGGAGACAGAGCAGACACCAAAGGCGCTCGGGATTGGGTAACCCTCTGCAGCCGGCGAAGACCAAGCCCCACTAATGCCCACTATGCTATCCCTCCAACCCTTTTCAGATTTTATTGTGTCAGTACATATGGACATCTTCTCGAACGGGTAGAGGTGGTAGAAGGGCTCGTTAGTACGGATCTTACTCACCTTATAGCACAGAAGGAGGTCTATGAGGTCGAGGTCCAGATTTCTGTCACGCATCAACAAGAGCATAGCAGATATGATTCTAAAGAAGTTGGGGTTGACCTGCAGAGGGGATATCCCCAATCTATTGAAGACATAACTAAAGAAAGGGTGCAGAGGGAACCTAACAACATTCAATTGAAGGTTCGTGAATAAGACTTCGCTGGGCAGGAGGCCGGCGCCGGTCGTAATGTTAACGTCTTGGGGGCAAACCCTAACTTCGATGTTGTCAGGAAGTCTAAGTCTCATACGAAGAACATCCAGATCTACAACCATGGTGGAAGTGCTAGAAGAATCTACAAGAGGGTAAATGGAAGCCTGCCGAAAGTAAAAAGAACGAAACTAACCTCGGAGGACTGCAAGATCGCTGGAAGAATGACTCTTGAAGGATTTCACCAGAGAAAGCTTAGCACTGTTCTAGAAAAGAGAGAGACTTGGCTGATGATGGAGACGGTAAAGGGAAGTGAAGTGGAATTCTAGAGCATTATAAAGGCGAGGGGGCCCGAGGGCCGAAGCGTCGGGAAGGCGAGAAATCCCTCGAGCCCCGGAACATTGATTCTGGATCTGACCGTCCGCTCCCCCACGTGGTTATCTCGAGCCGTCAACATCATGATGAGACGCCATCAATAATTACCCCTTATTAAATAAGGGGCAATTATGGGGGCAGTTGAGGAGGCCCCGGATGACATGGGCCAGATCCGACTCGCAAACATAGCATTCAGTCCGTACAGCTGGGCCAGCCCATAGAAGGACACTGCCATATGGGCCGAACGAGAGTAAGCCCATCAAAGGTGACCAAGGCTTACGAAGGAATAGGCCCAGATCCAGCAATCAGTAAATATCTTGTAAATATCTTGTAAATATCTATAAATAGGAGATGGAATGAAATGGAGGAGGATCTTTTGGGGGTTGAGGTGTAAGAATTCTAGAGAGAGAAAGAGGAGAAGGAATTTCTTGCATCTTCACTAAAATTATGATTACTTTAGCCAATGATCCACATAACTACTCAACTCTTGTTCAGTTCAGGAATTAAGGAATGGAAGACCTTGACAGTAGAAAAATAACTAAAGAGAAAAGTTGTCAATTCATAGATTGCTCGTGAATTTTATTTTATGCAAAGTAGCAAATGCGTAATTAGGTTTAAAGGAGTAGATAGATGAAAAGAGACAAATTGATCCATCTATAAAATTCATGATATATGTGTTGGATTTGCTTAGGCCATTGGAAATTTCTCAGAAGTGTTTTAAAATTTCTAAAAGGCTGATGTATGAAACCCGTGATGAGGACTGCAAACCAGTCCACTTTGATATGTTTCAAAACTAAATTAAAATTGAATAATTTCCAATGATTCTTAAAAAAATTATAATTGAGATCAAAATCGTTGAGATATGGAATCAAATTGAACCGAATCATGAAAGAATGTACTCCTTATATATATATATATATTGTGAGAACAATATGTTTACTTTTGGAATATATATTTGTTTGCAATCATTAAATGTGTTATATTATTATTTATTTATATTACAACAGGTCCTTTTGAATTTAGAATCAAAATTGAACAGTAAAAAAATCACGGTTCAAAATGATTAAAATGATTAGTGAACGTCAATTGTTGACGGTTTTCATATTTGCTTGTCTTTTTATTTTAATTGTCTTTTTATTTTTTTAATTATCATCGAACTCTTAAAATATTTGATAATTAAACTATGCATATGCAACCCACAATACTACAGTAAAAAAAAATAATAATAATAAAAGTATAATGTCATACTCGGTATAATTATGTTATACCTATTTACCCTTTTTTTTTTTTTAGCAACCTATTTACCCTTTTGAATCAGGGGTAATTCTACAATTGGTGGAATATATATATATATATATTTCTCATCTTCGGTCCTCATTTGTTTCCTTCCAAGAGACGCAATGCTGCTAAAAATTTAAACAAGACAATCACTAAAAAAGAGTGCCAAAGCGCGCCATAGAAGTTCATTCCATTTCCCGAAATTTATTCTCACACTATCGATCTCAATCTAAACTCATGCCGCGTGGTTTCAGACACCTATGAAAAATTTCCTTTCAATTTCTCACTATAGATCTTGGACCACATACGAGTAAAACCCTAGCTCCGATTACAATCTCGGTAAGCATTCTCTTCGATATGAACACGGTATACCCATTTTATGCTTCTTCACTGAATAAAAACCCTAGCGGGAACCAAATAAGGTTTGGGGGTTTTTGTTATTCTTCACTGTAGATCGTGTTGTTTAATTGTTTTCTTTCATTTTGTATATTGAATTTTTTTTGCCGTGTGAGTGATTCTGGTTCCGATTGTGATTAGGTGAAGGGACTGCTCAATGTGTTTTCTGAATTGGGAGATAGATCGGTCACGGCCTTTGTGATTTTAGCTCCGTCGAACCAGCAGGAGTCTGTTTCCAGCGAGCTTAAGGTAAGATTTTCTCTCATCATCACGGAAAGTTAGGGTTTCGAGGCTGTTAGCGGTGAGGAGTGTTTGTCACTCTGGATGGGAAAACCAGAAAAGTACTCTGCATAGTGCTTACACATACTGATGTTTAGATTGTTATTTGTAGTCTATATTAGGCTTTAGAATTTTCAATGCTACCAAGCAAAATGTGAGAATTTTTTTTTTTTTTTTTTTGTGGAGAAAAAGGTTAGTGCTACAAAATTAATGTAAACAACAGGCTGCTAAAAATTTAAATTGTTTAACATATATCACACTTCTGCTAAGCCCTTGGTGGTAACTACTTTTAATTTAAGTTTCATTTAACTCATAAAAAAAAAAAAAAAAAAAACCTCATTTGGGCTCTATTTTAGTGATTATACTGGTGAAGTCATGTTGTAGCATCAAGTATTGAAGATAAATACGCATGAACTAATAAACACATGTTCTGTTATTGTTGAATCCATGTTATGACATCTTAAGAAAAAAAGAAATTGAAGTCAAGCAATAAATATACATAAACACATGTTCTGTTATTGTTGAATCCACATTATGACATCTGAAGAAAAAAAAGGATTTAATGCAATGACTTGTTGTTTCTTAATTGAACATTATCCAGTATACTGAGAAGAGGTCTGTTTGATGCAACTATGGCGATGCATTAGTAACTCTCACATTTTCGCTGTCTTCTAATAAATTTCAGGGATGGAAGGGGATCTGCAGAGGTCTCCACAACCAGGGTATCCCGTTGACAGTGGGGATGCAAAATATGTCTCTGGGCTTAGTACTATACTCGTTGCCACAATTCAAGAAACAAAGGACAGGATTTCTCAGATAGAATATATTTTCTGCAGCCAACTTTTCCCGAATTTCCAATCAAAATCTAGAAGCCTGCAGAATATTTACTCCGAGGCCAAGAAAGCTGCAGAAGATGTATGGAAAGAGAAGGAAAAAGAACTGTTACTCCAAATAGAAAAGCTTCAGCTTGAAAAGCAGCAAGCTCTCGAAGAAAATCACTATCTGAAGAAGGAGAAGGCAAAGTTTGTGAATTTTGAAGGCCAGTCACCTAATAGTGTTAATAAACTGCAAGTGGAGCTAAAACAGATGACTGAAGAATTAGGCGAGGGAAGGGAATTACAACATAGTATACTCAGACTTCTTGAAATAAAAGACACTGTGATATGTGATATGGAAAAGATGCTGAAAGAGCATGAGCAAAAATATGATACATTTGTGAAGAAAGAAAGAAGTCTACAGCTTGAAGCTGAGGAACTGCGGTGTGAGCTCATGAAGAAGTCTAAGGAATTAGACAAGGTAAAGGAGTTGAAAGATAATTTGCTTAAACAAATTGAATCGCAAGCCTTAAAGATGGTGAATTATGAACAGCTCTTGAGTGATTGTGAAAACAAGAAGAAACTACTGACAGCCAAACTGGAAACCGCAGGGAATACTGATGGGCTTCAAAGGGCACTCCTGAAGAAAATTGACGAGGTGGAGGAGGGAAGAAAATTGCAAGATAATTTGCTAAAAAAATTAGAATCACTAGCCTCAGCGTCAAAGATGGTGAACTATGAACAGCTCTTGAGGGATTGTGAAAACAAGAAAAAACTATTTACAGCCAAACCGGAAAGCTCAGTGGATGTTGTTGGGCTCCAAAATGCACTCCTGAAGAAAATTGAAGAGGTGGAGGAGGGAAGAAAATTGCAAGAAGAGCTACTCCGACAGATAGATTTAAAAGGTTCAGAAATGTTGAGGACTAGACAACAGTTGGAAGAGCTTGGTAAGGAGAAAATATTGCTTCTGGCTAGACTAAAAAATTCAGAGGAGAAAATTGATAATCTTCAAGTGGAGCTCAGAGAGAAGAGCAATGAGTCATCTGATAGGATGTCATTGCGTGGAAAATTACTCCAACAGATCAAAGTGAAGGACTCCGAGTTGATGTCTGAGAAGAAGAAAAAAAGAGATGTAATTGCTGCTTATAAAAGTCTGAAATCTCAATACAACTTTTTATGCAAAAAATTTGGTCTTACTACAGAGAATATGCTCCCGAATAACAGAATGGGAGATGAAAGTGATTCATCAAGGCAGTGTCAGAATCCATTAACTTCACCTGGTAAGCTTTACTGCTTTTTGCTATATCCTCATTTTGTTAAATGCAATGTTTTGTTTTGTGGTGGAAATTGTGTAATGCTATTCTTAGTTGTAGGATTAAACTTATAACCGTTTATGATGGGATTGAACTCAGATACTTCTACACATGCACGTGTACTGTCTCAAACAAGACCACCCAAGATTCACTGCATCACAGTTGTTACTGTTGTAATTATCCTCAATGCTGACCGACTTCTTTTCTGGTGTCATAGATATTGAAAACAGAACTCTTGATGTTTCTGCGGTTGCTTGTGAGATGACCAAACAGAAGATTGACCGAGATAAGATGGAGGATCACAAAGGAGTCGGATTAACCCAAGGACTGAGCTCCGACCCACCTGCCAGTACAAGTTTCCTCATTTCACCAAAACGCCCCACTAATGGAAGATCTGGCCCCTTAGCTGGCTCAAAGCGTCCCGTTTCTTATTGGAGAGAAACCAGGTCTCATCAGAATCGAGGTGGGCCTGACCCACACGATGATTTTCTCGATACTCCCTTAGAGAACATTAGAGGGAACTTAAAGAGGGCTTTGAAGGGGGAAGCTCATGATCTTCTATCCCCAGTTCCAAAGGACATGAATTCTAACAGCTCCGATGATGAAACACAGGATATAAACGTAGATCCTGGTCCACAAAAGCCTCAAATGCCAGTTCCAAGGCCTGGAACAAGAACTTTTAAGTATGTGGAATCAGTAAGAAAGAAAGCTGAGAGGGAAAGTTTAAAAGGAATTGAATGCAAGGATTGTAAGAAATTCTATGATGCTGTTCTTGACAACGATGGAGGAAAGGGAACAGATGGTATGAAGCAGAATTTGCGCTGTGAGCATCATGATGGCGTTTCAAGGCATCGGTATAGGTATGCACCTCCTTTGACTCCTGAAGGATTTTGGAATATTGGATTTGAATCTGAAATGTGAGTTCCATGGATTGATAACTGATTAATTTGACTGAAGCTAAGTTTAATAAAATATCATTCTTGCTGCATACTGTTTAACCAAAACCAAGGCAGGGAGAGAATTCTCGAAAAGGCCTCCAAACGTGTAGCCATCATGTTATGTTTTAGGCTTAAATCCTGTTTATGATGTTGCCATTAATTCGAAGGTTGATATTCAAAGACATAATATGAGAAGTCTAAAATGAAAACCCGGATAAGCAAAAGCTTGTAATTGATGTTTTACATTACTATTATGGATTCATATGCCAGGCAAATTCATAAAAGATACTAGTAATGTTTTAGGGGGAAAACATGTTGGGACTTGGGAGGATGTGTGAGAGGCAAAACAAATAGTAGGCTTTCTTTAGTTGTTCAATGCCTATATTACCATCAGAAACTTCCCAATTGCCCTGTTCGAATATTGGTGTTGAATAGTGTGAATTATTGGGACAAAAATTTGAATCTCAAAAGCTTTGTGCCTAAAACTATACCTATAAGTTAGGTTTGGAACTGAATCTTGATTGACCATAATTATCTCTGAATTTTATGACCATAAAGTATGTAGCCTATTTGTAACAGTGCATTGAATATCAGGAGCTGAAATCGAAAACATGGCATTGCATTTTAATAACAAGATGGTCTCCTGTAATGAAATAGTTTTTGTTATTCTTAATATGTCAATTTGTATGAGAATTTGAGCCACTACCTCCTAATTTGAAAAGTGAGGAAGTACCATTGGGTTATAATTTTCGGTTAATTCCATTCCAACTGTGTACCAGAAAGTAATACTAAACAACAGAGGATCCAGAAGATAACTCAAAAGATGACATATTCCTTTACATTTTAGAGAGAGTTGAAGGCAAAGAAAGGAAAGAAAAATGAGGAAAAGTTTATATCATGTTTTATTTATTTATTTATTTTTATTTTTATTTTTTTCCAAAATGAGGAAAGAAAAGACAGCAAAGCAAAGCAACACAAATTTAGAAAAAGATAGGTAGTAATTTACCTCACTTTTTATAACAAGTGAATTTTGAGAAAAATATGTAATAATTTACCCTACTTATAACAATTGATAATTTTTTTGTTTTTGGGGTCCTGACAAATAACTATCACCTATTTACCTGGAGAGGCTTTAACCCTCTTATATTTTTCCATTTTGAAAAGAGGAAATACCACTAGGTCATAAGCCTTGGTAATAATAAGTGAATTTTATCTCTCCATTTTCACTCCTTATTGCAGCAGCCAACGAAGGCATAAACCTCACTTAAATGGGTAATAATTTCTTCAGATGACAAGTCGCCTTATTGAGCTGAAGTATAAACCTCTGCTTGAACAAAAGATATTATTTTTGAAGTCAAGCTTGATAAAGATGGTTTAGAACCTGATGTATGAGAAAAAGATTGGAGATAGACTTAAATTTTAGTATCTTATTACACAAAGTAGTCCTTGTATTAGAATTTGTGTCCTCTTTCTCTATTGGTCCAAAAATATTGACCTCATTCTCTGTTGGTCCAAACTTTTTACCATGCATAACACAATGATCCAATAAGTTTCAGGTATTAACCACATCTGGGATTGTTACATCAACTGCAATCCATTTCAAACATTCTCATTCCAAAAAACATGGAAAGGCATTATAATTATAATGTTACTACTGGAGTAGGAAGTGCTTCTTTACTCTTACAAACAGACACTCAAAGTTAGTGTTACACACACACACACACACACACACACACACACACACACACATATATATATATCCCTTCCTTTTAAACGAAGTGGACATTTGTGGATGCGTGCGTGAGACTGAGTATTTGGGTCTCAACGACTATACAGTCATCTTTAATAAATATAAGAAAAGAACCTAATTTAAACACATAGGGCATAGGGCATAGCACAGTTCTTTAATTTAAATTTGGCTAGCCCGGAAAGTTAATGAAAAAAAAAAAAAAATTGATAGTTTTAGTATCATATTACTAATGGTGAGCTGTACAAGTGCTTCAGTTTGCTGGTACAAAATGCGGAATGAGTAAAACCCATTGGTTTTGTTTCCCCTTTTTATTAAAAATAATTTTTTCTTATTATTATTTTTTATTCCTTCATGTTTATTCACCAAGTATGAAACAATTTTGGGCGGAATGGTGTGACCAATTCGAAAGATGGCTTAGTTTACAAATTTAGATCTTCTAGAAGTTGAATATTTTATTGGGTCATATTTTTTGGGCCGAAACTTGTATTGTATTGCCCACCATTTTTCTAGAAACCTCAAGGGTTGTTTGCAGTTTAACTGCATAGTTTCGGAAGAGCCTTCACTAAAATAAATTGTTTATTGCAACCATATTTTAAGTGTTTTCTGTCAAAACACACAAAGGAAAAGAAAATGTGTCTATTTCGTTTTGTTTGAAAACAATTAGAGAATTCATCATGAGAGTGTTTCTTTGAAATTGTTTTTTGTTTCTTTTCTTTTTAAAATCCTGTGGTCTAATAGAACACTCAACCAAATAAAAATTTGAGCACTGATCTATCATTTGTCCTCAAGAACTGAAAAACTATTATAAAAAATCAGAACCAACCTAGGTCAATGTTTCCCAGAAGTTTCTTGGGACTTACTTGTTTAATTTTCTGAAAAAACCGTTTTCAATAACTCTGAAAAGAGAAAAGAATTAGAGAGGTACAAAATATTATTCTCTCGGACTTCTCGAACCAGTTTGAAGAAAATTTCAACAAAATGAATTTTTGAACTGTTTACGCTTTCTAATTGTACGATAAATGAAATTTATTCTAAAAATTTAACCAAAATACACACTTGATTACACCTACTTTTTCACAAAAGATAGCATATCATGTTAGAGTCATTGGTGCAGTGATAAAACTAAACTGTATAGGGTAAAAACACAAATTTCAATTTGAGGACAATCAACTACTTTGTGCAAATCATGCTAAAACTTGAGTTCATATTTTAATGCATCTCTTCTAAGGCACTAAAGTCGGAATGACATACCAATGGGATAGTCCAATGGTATAACATTTCCTCCCTCAAAAGAAAGGTGAGGAGTTCGAAACTTCGAATCCACACAAATCGAAAGAGTTATGATATATAAACCTAACATTTCAGCCAAAATATTAGGCTTATATCAAATAAACCATTGGATTCAACATAAGAGGAACGACGTAGGTCCCCTTATGCTACATTCAATGGATAATGATTGTTCGGTCATATATTTCTATTGAAGTGCTCGGCTAAACAATTATTTTTCTTTTAACTAAAAATAAATAAATAGCCCCAACCTTCGTTTGCTTAGTTGACCAGAGCTTAATGCTTATCTAATCTTATGGAAGGATAGACAAAAATGCTTACAGCTTTTGATTCCAATCATTTGGTAAGCAAAAGAGCAAGTCTACATTTAAAAACTTCAACTTGAAGGATAATTTAATGGTAGACTTGAGGGTTGCCCCTAAGACTAGAAATGCATAGTTTCACAAGTTTTTCCAAACTGCCAACCCATTCAATTGCATCCCAAGTCTTCATATTTTATATTACAAATAACAAATCTACATGCCTTTATATATGAATGGTGACATGACACATTCTTTACATGCCAAAACAAGACTTTTTCTCTCTCTCTAAAACAATTAAGAAGGTTTTTGGAGGCTACAGCAAAGAAAAGCAATGGAGGGAAATCACAAGTTCTTCCATGGAACACTTGAAGCTACCATCTTCCATGCCACACCTTGCAACACACCATTCCCTTTCAGTGTAAGTAACAAATAATTGAACTATAACCTGGTAATGTTGCGTTTGGGAGCACCGAATCGACGCTTTGAATTTGGAATTAGAGAAATTTTTAGTTCGAAATTTGAATTAAATTTCGTTCAATTCCAATTCCAAGGCACTGATTCGGTGGTCCCAAACATAGCATAAAGTTTGTTGTAGGATTATCAAACTTCACTATTTGTTGTCCCAAGCAGTGGAAAATCTGATCAATTGGAACTCTATTTTGCAGTGTTTACTTGGGAATGGAAAACCAGCCTATGTGAACATCAAGATAGACCAAAAGAAGGTAGCAACAACAAGCCATGAGAGCGATAGAGTTTGGAATCAAACCTTTCAAATCCTCTGTGCTCATCCAACCAACTCAACAATAACCATTACAATGAAGACAAAGTGCTCCATCTTGGGGAAATTCCAAATCCAAGCCAATCAGATACTGGATGAATTAAGTTTGATTAATGGATTCTTCCCACTCAACATGGAAAATGGGAAGCCAAACCCCGAGCTCAAGCTACGATTCATGTTATGGTTTAAACCAGCAGAATTTGAACCAAGGTGGGGGAAATTACTTGAGCTTGGAGAATTTCAGGGGCTAAAGAATGCTACATTTCCGCAAAGGTCTAACTGCAGCGTCACGCTCTATCAAGATGCTCATCATCACACTACCTTTCAACCACCATTTGATCTCTGTGGGAGCCCAAGAAAGTTGTGGGAGGATGTGTATAAAGCACTAGACGGTGCCAAGCATTTGATTTACATTGCAGGGTGGTCTCTCAATCCTAAGATGGCGCTGGTAAAAAAAAAAAAAAACAAAACGCTTTGTCTCGGCTAAATGCTATCATTTTTGGTTTCCCCCTTTCTGTTTCCAAAATCTGATTTGTTTCTTTGCAGGTTCGCGATCCTCAAACTGACATTCCACACGCACTAGGAGTAAAACTAGGTGAATTGTTGAAGCGGAAGGCAGAGGAAGGTGTGTCTGTCAGGGTCATGATTTGGAATGACGAGACTTCCTTGCCAATAATCAAGAATAAAGGAGTGATGAGTACTCATGATGAAGATGCCTTCGCCTACTTCAAGCATACCAAGGTAGCATGCAGATTGTGTCCCCGGTTACACCACAAGTTTCCCATGCTCTTCACTCATCATCAAAAGACCATAACTGCTGACACACGTGGGCGCTTCTCTTCAGGCAATCGAGAGATCATGAGTTTTGTTGGTGGATTAGACCTCTGTGATGGCCGGTATGACACAGAGCAGCATTCATTGTTTCGTACCCTCAATACAGAATCACATTGTCGTGATTTCTATCAGACAAGCATTTCTGGAGCTAGTCTTCACAAAGGTGGGCCAAGAGAGCCATGGCATGATACTCATGCCTGTATTATTGGTGAAGCTGCTTGGGATGTTCTGACCAATTTCGAGCAAAGGTGGACAAAGCAATGTGACCCTTCTCTGCTAGTCCCCATTAGCACCATAGCAGATCTCTATCACCACCCTACTCCTACAAGCATTTCCACTGAAAGGGATTGGAAAGTTCAAGTCTTTCGATCAATTGACCATGAGTCTGCAATCCAATTGCCAAAAAGCTTTACTGTTGAGCGTAGCGTCCATGAAGCTTATGTAGAAGCAATTCGTCGCGCTGAGAGGTTTATATATATCGAGAACCAGTACTTCATTGGAGGATGCCATTTGTGGGAGAAGAAAGATCAGCATTGTGGCTGCAGAAACTTGATACCCATTGAGATTGCACTTAAAGTGGCAAGCAAAATCAAAGCAAAGGAGAGGTTTGCAGTATATATTGTAATGCCAATGTGGCCAGAAGGAGTACCAGAAAGTGAACCAGTCCAAGATATACTGCATTGGACTAGAGAAACAATGAAGATGATGTATAGGTTGATTGGAGATGCAATTGAAGAAAGTGGCGAACCGGGACATCCAAGAGACTACTTGAACTTCTTCTGCCTTGCGAACCGGGAAGTAGAGGGCAAAGGGGAGTTCATTCCTCCATACTCTCCTCATCCTGCAACAGAGTACTGGAATGCTCAAAAACATAGGAGGTTCATGATTTATGTACATTCCAAGCTCATGATAGGTATCAACATTCTTATTCACTTATCCTACATTCTATATCTTTCACTATGACAATGAAAATTATGTATTAACTATACTTTTGTTGGTGATTTGCTATTTGTTTTTCAGTGGATGACACCTACATGATGATAGGATCAGCGAATATAAACCAGCGATCCATGGATGGACAACGCGACACTGAAATTGCAATAGGGTGCTACCAATTAGGAAATGGTGAACAAAAAGGAGTGAGTGATGGAGATATTCAATCATACCGTATGTCACTGTGGTACGAGCATACTGGACGAGCAGAAGAGATGTTCCGAGAACCTCAGAGCCTGGAATGTGTGCAGATGATCCGTTCCATAGGCGAGAAAATGTGGGAAGTGTTTAGCGGAGAGGAAATAGTAGACATGGAAGGTGTTCATCTGGTCACATACCCTGTGAGTATCAGCAATGATGGTTGTGTTGATGATGTTGTGGACAGTGATGGTCACTTTCCAGACACAAAAACTCCAGTCAAAGGGAAGAGAGCAAAAGTTCTACCACCTATATTCACCACATGAGCACAAAGATGATGAGTAGGTCAGTGTTGGATACACATGATCAGCTCATTTTTATTTTACTTCTTTGCTTTGGGAAGAGCTTATTTTCTGATGTGAACATTCCAAGCTCTTTATAGGTATCAATATTCATTCTATTCTATTTTTTTCTTTCTCTCTCTCTCTTCTTCTTCTTAATTGGTACTCATACACACATGCCTTCACCAAGGCTCGAACCCCTGACCTCCTTCAAGGAAGTAGGAACCTAGTACCGCTAACCCACTTGCCTGTTGCTGTATTCATTCTATTCAAATTCTTCTTGTAAAACTATGTATTGTACTTCTGAACACTTGAAATGGAATTAACAGATCATTGTTGCAATGTTAATTTGGTAACTTTGGACATTGGCCATCCTCTGTTTAGCATTTTCCATTTCAATCATGTGCAGCATATATATATATCAATATGAAGAACTTCGATTTTTGTGAGGAGTTTCAAACTTGTATGATTTTAGATTTTACATAGTCATAAATAAAAGCAGAAATTGGAAATTTTAATGGCTGCTGAACTGCTCAACCTTTGAACAGTCATCTTTACTCAAATATTCGACTATTTTAATGTTGAGTACTATCCCATAAAGTCTTTCCATAATTTTCAGTATTGATCAACAAATTTAGCAATCAACAATATTTCCTTTGAATTTCAGCACACGCAGTGATGAACCCACTTTTGCATACCTTTTTAGAGTGCTTACACATTTTATAATACTAGTCTTTTTTGTTGCCGAGTGTGATTATAGCGACAGGAGAACAAGGACCACAATGACGATGATGACCCCAAAGCTTGCATCTATTGAAATTCTAATGTGTTACCCCTTCATTTAATTTCTTTCCTACTTTCTGATTCTCCAGTCTTATAACCTCACCTCATTTAGTTTTTAATAATATGCAATTTGTTTAACTGTGTAAATGTAGATGTAAATGTTTTGTGTGCATCGGTAAATAGTTGTGTATATATATATCTCGATAATAATAAGTTATTTTGTTTAATCATGTTCATTATCAATCGCCTTCGTTAAATTATTTTGTTTAATCACGTGAATTATCAATGGCCTTCGCGTATTGAAAAGGAGAATGTTAAAGTGGATGTGTAGAGTAGAGTGACTTAAAAAAGAAGGAAATTAATGAAAATGTGACAGAAAAATTTATGGACGGTTTGCATTCATCAACATCGTTTTGAAGTTTTTGTCAAGGAAAAAAATAAAACGAAAATCCTCTAATACAGTAGCCCAGGGTGCAAGTTCAACGACTCACAAAAGTACCACCTACTTATCAAAACCATGTTGTTTTGTACTTTGAATTTCACCACTTCAATAATGAATAGCACTAAATTGGTGAACTTTCACCATTACTGTGATAAAGTTTTCAAAATCAAAGTGGTGAAATTACAAATCAAAACACCGACCGAAAATGAGACATATTTTCGTTAGGACGGTTGACACAAGCTACCTTACACCAAAATAGCATTCTAATACTATTACTACATGCATCTAGGGTTTTTTATTTTTTAATGTATAAACTATATTTGAAGTCTTACTATATCTTAGTAAGTCTGTACCATATTAGATATCCACTTTGAAAACTTTGACTCATCAAAAAATGAATAAGATATAATAAGACTAAAAATAATCTCAAATGACTCAAATATAAAATGTCATAGTGAGTCAAAATTTTCGACGTGAACAACTAATATGAAACCGAGGGAATATGTTATAAGATCCATTTATTGCACTATTGTTACTTCAATACTGTACAAATGAAAACTTTGAATAATATAAATATCCATTCTTAACTTCCAAAAGAAGATTAGGGGTTCAAATCTTAAAAAAACGTGTGTGTGTGTAAATACAAAAATAAATAAATAAATATCCATTCTTGTCTAATGAAAACAAAACTTCACCCAACATATATATAAGCGGGGTCCATGTAACAAAGTATAGGACGGAACAGCCTTGACGGTTTCATACGCACAAGTTGAATATTGCTTAATATTTTCCTTGCATATTGCTGTCTATCATATTTTTGGTTTCAATATTCTCCTTTTTTGGTTGGATATGATTATATGTACGTATATTGAACATATATTTAGGCATTCCTTCAGCTTATAAATCCAACACATCCCATACATTGAGGCTCCATTTGTTTGAGCATAAAATATTTTCGGTGCTTTATGGTGTTTGATTGTTAGTAAAATATTTAACAAAAAAAAAAAAAAAAAAAATCTAACAAAAATAAATTATTTATTTATTTTGGACAAACTATTTTACATGCCCCACCCGATGAACTCAACCTAGACCTTTGCCAAACACCTAAAAATAAAAATAAAACATATATATTTTATCTGAAATATATATATATATATATATATTTAAAACAGAGCTTAAACAGGGTCCATCAAATGGAAAATTCTTCAATCAACTCACCTAACAAAAATGTCATGGAGGACAAAAGATAAAGGGAAAATTACATATAAATGGAGTCAAAGTTCCATATTTACTTAGAGACTGAGTCAAAGTTCCATATTTACTTAGAGACTGAGTCAAAGTTCCATATTTCTCTAAAATGGATTGCTGAGGTGGCACATGATTTTTTACTGTTTAGAAATTGTGGTGCCTAAAATACCCTTCCGCGAAGGTACTACTTTTTCTTCGAAGGTACTACTTTTTTGAACTGAAAGTACTACTTTTTGGCGTCCAGGTACCATGTTTTTAAACACCCGCGAATGTACTACTTTTTCTCCGACGGTACTACTTTTTTAAACTGAAGGTACTACTTTTTTGTTAGAGAAGGGCATTTTAGGCACCACAATTTTTTAAACAGTAAAAAATCATGTGCCACCTCAGCAATCCATTTTAGAGAAATATGAAACTTTGACTCAGTCTCTAACTAAATATGGAACTTTGACTCCATTTATATGTAATTTTTCCAAAGATAAAAGTCGAGAGGTAAAAGATTTACCCCGCACTAGCAAGTTTGAAGAGTAAACAAAATACAGTGGCAATCTGTATATTACTATAACTTTTTCCCGTCGAAAAGGGAAAATTAACAACAATAGCAAATCGGCTATCATTCAATACCTGACTGTTCTACAAGCCCGAAGCACAGGAATTTCATTTGAAAAGGCAGAAGAAAAAGAACCAAAGGCAATAATATATCAAGAGACAGATTCAGCTTTTCAAGGTTCCTAAAAGAATAACCTCCTCTTCTACCATATGCTAACATCAAGATAACCAGAACAAGCACCGTTGAGAAAATAAGAGAAGAGTAGCATTTCAAGTAACAATTACTGGAAGTGCTGGAATAATAAAAAGTAAACAAAAAACTAGGACACTTCCTTCTGCCTTCTTGAGCAAAAATGTGAGTCATAGTTCCCAAACCCGTCATGTATTTTGGGACGGAGGGAGTATTATTTTAAATGAAAATCGCTATCATATAATCATCATTTCTTTTTTTTTTTTTTTCCTAATTGGTATTCACACACACATGCTTCCACCGACGTTTGAACCCCTGAACTCCCTTTAGAAAGTAGGAGTTTGGTATCACTAAGTTATTTCTATCTTCTAAGTCTGTTAAAAGTCAATCGATTTTGTGACTCTAGTTAGAAAAAGTGACAATTGCCGATTCTAGGGATATTGCCTTGACTTTGTATGTCCCCACCTTAGGAAAAACACAAAAAGATTGTAGGCAAGCATACAAATCCACCTCAAGGTTTCATATAAATGACCATAATCTGCAACCGACATCCTTTCATTTGAGAATTAGTATAATAATAAACCCTAGACGATGTCAAAGCAAGATCCAGCAATTTGCCTCTTTGAAACAGCCTCAAATATCTACAAGGGAAAAAATGTGGCCCTTAAGGCTACTTCAACCCATGAAACAATCTAACCTGGATAAAATGCACTTCAAAAACTCTTGCAAAATCTCTAGACCATAAAAAACCACCAAGTTAGTTACCTACATTCTTCACCATTCCTTCTACTTAATTATTCTGGTAGATTAACCCAAAATCTTGAAAAAGCATCTTTTTCTTCTCCAAAAATCTCTTATCCATATAACACAGCCTGTGGATAAAATGCACTTCAGTAACTCTCGCAAATTCTCTACACCACCAGTTAACGACCTACATTCTTCACCGGTCCTTCTACTTAATTATTCTGGCTGATTAGCCAAAAATCTTGAAAAAAGCATCTTTTACTTTTCCAAAAATTTCTTATTCATTACGTTACATGAACTCCCCAAGAGTAAAATTTCTGTTATGTAAGCCCTTTTAGCTGACAGGTTAGAGCATCACACTTTTAATGTGACTATCCTTTTAAATGTTACCTGATTCAATTTTTCATAGAAGGGATACCTCATTTCTTGCTTCACCTTTCAACAATATCTCAGAAAGTAAGCACTAGTACCAGTTCTTCATCTGCAAAATATTGGAAAACAGAAAAATCAATAAATGTGTACCAAACACCAAGTTCATTTAAAAGAAATAGAATGTGATAAACATGCAATCATTCAGAGACCAAAGACAGAACGTCAACAACAATGCAATGAGGAGTTATAACAAAGATTAAAACAAAGATGCTCCAGAGAAACAAAATAGAATTGCAGTTGCATTGAGGAGTTACATCCCAGGTCACCAATTAAAGCACAAGTGACTTTCCTTCACTCTAACATTTGTTCTTGACTTCCACTAAGAATTCCTAGAGTTTAGTGTTCATTTAATATCTGAGCCAAATTGAGATAATGTAGGTGGTAAATGGGAGAAAATGATCCTTCTACCTTGCATTTGAATTTTTCTACAACCTCAATGCAACTCTCTTTCTGAGAATTTTACAAAAAAGAATAACCGCATAAACTACTTTTACTTTTATACAATATCAAACCACCATCATCAATCAATGGAAGATCTCAAGATGATAAGACCGGTGAAGCATCTAATACTGGAGACGATACCTGCTTTATTTTCCATGCCTCGACCAAAGCATACTATTCAAAAGAATTAACCATAAGATAAAAATAAGAAATCCAATCCCTTCGATCTAACTTTAGACCTAGCATTGCTAGCAAATGAAGTAAGCCAACCCTCCCTGATTCACAATTGTCACAACCAGCTAGGAGTTTAAAGTAGCTTCCACTGCCCCAATCCATCCAAGCGTGTGGAGTTTGCATCTAGTAGAAAACAAGCATCTTCTCTCATATAAAAGATATGATCCTAAAAAATGAACTGAGACACAAAAAATAAGGATTCTTTTTTTTTTTTCCCCGGTTCACCATAGACAATTAAACTAGTCTCAAGCTGCAACATGGAAACCAAATCCATATTTTCTAAGATTTATCCAAGTCAAAGATTCTCTGGTGGCTCCACTGATACACTATCAAATTTCTCCTTATTGCCTCAACCCATGTTAATTTTGATTCCAACAAGGAACGTGTCACTCTTCATCACTAATGCACTTTCCACATTGTCACTCTTCATAACTAATGCAGTTCTTAGTCTTCAAAACACATGGCAAAACCATCTTAATCAATTCTCTCATTTTATTCCTAATATATGCTACTTCAACCATCTCCTTTATTCTCTTGCCACACATCCATCTCAACATCTGCAATGCAACCACACTTCCCTCCGCAAAGTTTGTTCATACTTTTTTTGCTTTAATTTACCTTTCAATTTTAATGGTATACACTTCACAGGATATATTAGATGCATTCCTCCATTTAACACAACCTGTTTTAATTCTACGAATAACATCATATCAATATTCACACCCTTTGTGAATAATCAAGCTCAAGTAACGAAACATTTATATAACCGACTCATTGATCAATAACCTCAAAACCATGTTTCAGCACATAGTAGTTAATTTCCTGTACTTTCTCAATCCCACAAGCCTTTCTAAGAATACAATTCACTAAAAATTCAATAACCATGAAACCAAGAAAGACCTTACTTGTACAATATATGATTGTTTTTCCTGTAAGTTTGTATTAAAAAGCGCAGAAGGAAATGTCATCCATGCACAGCAGTGTACATGTACAAAAGGAATAACAAGAAAGATAAAACTATGTAGTGCCACATGCTCTAATTTATCCAAAGCACAAAATATCCTCAAAAGGTAAGTCCCTCTCTCTCACCCAACAGGACAAAAGATTTAAAGTAACCTTTCCATATTTAAGGGCCTTCAACCTCATGTCAACTTTACATCAACTTTGCCAATCTAAATTATACAACATAATGATGCATCCAGCTACTGCATCAACAACTCTACCTCGTAACTTTTAACTGCTCAGAGCCTCAGTAGAAAGAAACACCCCATGTCGACCGATATCCAGAAATACTGACTACTGAGGTGATCTGCCGCCATCGAAGAATGATGCTACTGCTACTATTCTGATGTGTAATCCTCTATGCATTAGATACTTTGATATTTATTGACAGCATGGTAACAGGGGAAGTAATATATCTGGGCTAATGGTTATTAAAAGCAACAAGTGTCGGATATCCTTTTGCACCATCATCCTTTCTAATGGTATATCTGGTCCAATGGATACTAAAAGCAACAAGTTGGATATTCTTCTACACCATCATCCTGTCTAATGAAAGAGAGACTCGTTAGGTTTACTTCTACCTTTGCTTTCATCTAATAGACGTTCATTTCCTTTTTCATCAAATGAAATACTCTCTCACATACGCACAAAAGTTAAAACACAAGGAAAGGGAAAAGGACCTACAAACCAGTAATGAGTGGTTAAATATAATTCGGGATAAAATTTATTCTAAATGATTTCATCATAACGGGGGTTAGGTATAAAGTACTCAACTCAAGAAAGCCTTTTCTAACTATTTGAGGTTGCTACATTAATCATGTTTCATCATTCCACTCAATTTAAGGTCATAAACCTTGGTTAAACCACATGTTATCATATCTCTTCTCAATATAAATAAGGTGCAAATTCTAACTTGAAAATTACAGACTTTAAAACCCCAAAAGAGAAATAGCAATTTCTCAGGTTGATAGATTCTAATGGAGACAAAAGCCTAAAATCAGTTTGTGACTAGTTAAACAAAGTTCTTAAAAAAAATTATTATATACATCTAATCTAAAGGATGTCAAAGGGGCAACGTAGGCAGATCAAGTACAAGTTATAGTTTAGAAGTACACATAAAATTCAGGACCCATTAAACCAATAGAACAGAGACGGAAAACTTGCCTATGAAGCCCCACAGAAGAAGCCAGCCCCTCGTCCCATGGCACATCCACCATCATTTCTTCAGGTATTCCAGGCTAATTTCACGCATGAAGGAGGAACTTGTCTACCATGAATGTGGCCGAAGTACTGACCAAATAAAAGAAGGTAACCAAAGTATCTCGACTGCTGAATGATATTGCGCAACTACACATTACATGAAGAATTTAAAAAAAAAAAAAAAAAGAAAAAAGAAAAAAGAAAAAAAAAAAAGCGAGCCAAAACAAGAGATGTAGGAATACTACGTGGCCATAGTTTGAATAAGGTTGAAGGATATGGAAAACTCTTCAATCTAATATTCCAACAAGCTAGTTTTAGGTTGCACTGTCCAACCTCTTTTTTTTGATGAATAATAAAAGTTATTGTGTTAAAACACAATATCATCCTAGACTTTGTCTGAGAAACTCATCTGGGGGCCGTCCAAAATGAGTTATATGCAAACTCCATTACGCATCCCTGGCATGTACTGTGGATCAAACCAATTCCACAATTAGAGAAAATGACAGCTTGACATTCCAGCTTCCCGCAAGCCACCTAAAGTAAATATATTATCTAATAGATCCCCTATTTCCACTTTGTGATGCACCAACTTTGTCCAAAATTCAGAAATTTAATGCAAATGGCATACTTCAACCAAACATTAACTCATACTGATCCCAAACAAGTATGAGGAAGTTCATAGCCAAAACATAAAATTTTGGATCTTGCTTTTGTCAGCAAACAAATACTAGAGGACCAGTAAAGAACAACAGTACTTTTTTCTTCACCCGCAATGGCTCCAATCCAATCTAACCCCAACAAACTTAAAACCAGAACATAACCCTTTGACACACTTTCAGAAGATAAAGCATGGTCCAAGAATGAAATACAATAAAAAATTGAAAACGACGTCTGCAGCCTACAAAAGTTAATCGCTAAATACAAACATTCCTCACAAAGTGGCAACAACAACACCATCCACCCTTCAAGCACCACCTCAAAGCAATAGGTAGTGGTACAAGTTCCTGATAAGAACTGCAAGGAACTATTAATTCACATCCATAGTTCCAATGTATAGGAGATACTCGGTTCACGGTTCAAAAAACCACCATAATTCATTGCAGCCACTGATTTAAGATCCTAATGTGCTACAGATCAGAGACCCAACAGAAACCAGAAATACAATTTCGTGTAAACTTCAACCGTGAACCGACTATAAGGGACCTGTCCACTTCCAACTTCACATGACATCCTTCAATCTAAACAACTAAAAGAGTATGCTTGGGCACGCCAAAGAGCCAACTGGTATTTTAGCACTACAACAGTAACTATTGATTCTCAAGGCTTACTGCTCCATCAATTTTAAATGTTATCTACCTTCTATACAATGTGCTTTAACAACATATTCTGAGAAAAAATGTCCCTTTGAATAGTTAAAGGTGCCGGCGCTCCAAGCACAAGAAGTACTTCATCTGATACAAAGCTAAAAGACTTGCTCAACACTGCAAACATTTAATTTCCAGGGTGTTTTTGGTCAATAAAATTTAATAGACCTCACAACTGTGTTTCAATTTCTCATAATCCGCGTGAAGTAAAATATGAAGGATTACTATCCAAGATCCAAAAAGCAATGCCCAAACAAATGAAATTGAATCCAGGAAACTTCTCACTCCGTGTAGTGTGAATTACCATATTCACTAATTGTAAAACCACATCAACATTACATGTGCAACATTAATTTTTGACAAGGAGAATCAGCTGCGATGGTTGAAAATTTAATCTATGTTAAAAAATCGCTTCCCTACAACTAACCATTGACATATTCTTCCAGTATCCATACTAATCAGTCAAACAAGGGATGTACCCAACAACTATATTCAGAAAATGTTTTGTCTAGGGTTCATGTAATTAGATAGAGAAACTCATTATTAAAAAGCAATTAACTTGCATGAGAAGCCATAATATATGCAATCATGCAAATATACCCAAATAGAAGGTATCAACAAGAGAAGGCTAATGGTAAGACCTAGAAAAGATAAACCCATAATGTTTCAAACTACTATATTTTAATCTCAGGTGCAAATGTAAATTATCATTTCAATTAGTTGAAGCAGAGTTACCTTGACTCTCCTATAGAAGTCACTTGAGATAACCACCTATAATAAGATAAAAAACTATTGATTTGATACGCACATACAGGATAATCAAGCCCTTCTAGACTATTAATATATCGGAAAGCCGACAAACTGCCAAAAGGAGCGCCTTCTTTGCAATTTCAGAGCTTCAACCCATCCAGATCTCAACGACGAGGCACACGAGGTTTCTCAAGTCCTCCCCAAGAAGCAGAACCTTGTCCATATAACGGGCCCTTGTCAGCAGCACCCTGATAAACATTATATAAATATTAATTCCCTCCCCAAAAATGCTGCACCATAATGCATGGTCATTTAAAAAAAATAAAAATAAAAAATAATAAACAAATTATCATATAATGAGTATTTATACCAGATGAACACCATATCCATCTCCATAAGATGCAGAAAATCCCCCCTCCAGGTTGCTGAATTTCATCCCATATGGTCCACCTTTAGACACCAGATATCAATATAAAGATTTTAGTAACAAACCAATACAACGACCAAAGTTAATATAAGACTGACAAGATATTTTAATTTTGTTACATTGATTGGTAGATAAGAACTTAATTTTAAAAAGCAGACTTAGAAAGGAAACATTTAGGGCCGTTTGATTTCTAAGAGAGAAAGGACATGAAAAATTGCAAAATATTAAACGTATGTATCAGAATGGGCTATAGCAAAAGAATGTAATCAAAATGTCATAGAAAAGTTGAAAGCATTATTACATGTTCTATATTTACAATGACTGTACGGTTTCCAGTGATAATGAGAAGAATAACAAATTCCTTATGCAAGAGAGAAAGAAGTTTAAAAATACCTACATGACCATATCAAATTAATGTGAAAACTATGTCCACATCATCACCCTAGCCATGATAAGAAACATTTAGAAGTATTGACATAAATACACAATAGACGAGACTGATTAAAGTGGAAACAGAATTCATCAAATTAATGAGTGGCACCATATTCTTGTTTAATGTAGAAATCTTTTACCTTTCCCATCAATTTCTTAACTTAACAATTTTTTTTTTTACCCCAAAGGGTATACCTTCTCAAATTTTACCAACAACAAAAGCACACCATTTCCTTTGAATTGGTTGCCTTTACCCTGCAAGATATCTCTCCTCTTATTTTTATCACTAATGATTGGTTGAAAACTTTCATCCTATATATACTTAATATTACCAATTGCTTGCATTAGAGGACATGGAATATATAGCTTAACAATAACACTCAGCCACCCGCTCATCCCCGATGATCATATTGTCACCTAGGCTAGTATAGTGAGTAAAAGGAACTCCTGCATACACTTGGGCTGCTATGAACCAAATCATGGATGGTGATTAAATACGAAGGCAGACCAAACTCTGTAAAAGAACTTGAAAGCGGATAACTACTGAAACACGCTTTGCCAGAGAAAACTGCACCAATGAAATGAATTTCTCCATCAATATCAAAGGACATGAGCCCAATGTGTCAGTCACAAAGGAGGAAAAATCAAATGTTAGAACTAGGAAGACTAATAACAGGCATACTAGCTAAACAAGTGGAAACCCTTGTACATTAGTTTATGCTAAAAAACATGAAGGGAAACAAGGTAATGTCTTAAAGAAGCATTGATTCATCTAAAACACAACTGCATCCCCAAGAGCAGTTGTGAATAAAGTTGTTCTTCTTTAATTGAATTTCTAATCACCTGATTCAATAATTGACAGCTTTCTGCTTTTGAAAGCCCTTCTCTAATGAAGATAAATCTTTTACATCACAACTGTACTACAATGTGATAATGTCACTGGGAACTGGTAAAAACACCTACAACATCATGTAAACCACTTATTCTATACTGGTAACTCATTATGGCTGCTAAATTAAATCATTATGGGTGCTAAACTAACTCATTTTCTCTGCCAGTCAAAGAAAAGATCAACAAGCTGAAAAGATCGACAGTGGGATTCTCATCCAAATTCAAATTAATAGGGCATCAAACCTAAGGCAGCAAACAATTCCAGCTCTGGTCCTTAGATGACACAATATCAAACTCACAATCAAATGTGTCAATAGAAAAAAGCTGAGGGACCAATGCTTGCAGTCAAACCTATGGGGTAAAATGGTATATAGCCTTCAAAGATTTCAGCAAATATAATTTTGCAAACAAGTAGATTACAGTCCTTGAGACTTTGTAGTCTTTTTAATCACAAGCCCCAATGACCTGATTCGTTTCCTCATCCACACATTCTATAGTGACTGCTGATGACCCAGATGAGACCTTTCAACTTGGATAACCTATGATATATGAATCTTGCACCACTGGCCTGGCCAAATGTGTAATCTCATCTCCTATAGTGTCACCCAGACTTAATTGCATCCTTTACAATTGGTTTAACTATGAAATATAAGGTTTTCATGATAATAAAATTAAAAGATAGAGCCTAGCAATAATGACAAAAGATAATCAATTGCTTCCTCACATATTTCCACATTTTGAGTTAACAAAGACTCATTTTTTATTCAAAAATATTGAGGAGTGCATCAAGAAGCCAAGGCTACATTGTCATTTGAAAAGGGGTGCACAATTCTGAAGTCTATGGAAAACATACTATTCCGCTAAAAAAGATTGTGAAGACTACACTAAGATCTTAGAGAATTCCTAAATTGCATGCATTACAATTGGTTTAACCTACGAAGGATAAGGTCATTATTATTACATAATACAGCACCCAGATCAAGGATGATCTTCATGTCTCATGTTTCCTAACTCGGGATGAACCTCAATCGTCTGAGGATAATAAAACAAAAAATGGCAAAAAAAGAAAGAAGACAGGAGAACACAATGTTTCATCAAATGATGAAAACATTCAACATCTCATACGCTATTTATATCTAGTGGGTGGGCAGAAATACAAGAATGAATGCAAAACTAAATGGTAAAAGAATTCTTCATAACAACACGAAAAACAAAATGAATCAATTAGCTACAATGGTTCAGTCAGGCGATAAAAGGTTAAATATGATATGTTCTTCAAGCAAAAAACTGTGTTGTTCAAGTTGAAAACAATAAATGGACAAAAAATCCATAAAAAGGACTGAATATAAGCTCTTGGCAGAATTTATATGACAGATATGAAGATAGATGGAGCAGGGGCAGAAAAGGCTTCACATAGACAACACCAAATAGTTGTGAATTATCATTACCCTTGGGTGAATTTAGTTTCCAACACCATTACTTCGGAGAATTCATTAAAAAAAAAAAAAAAAAAAACAGTAATTTCTGTCCTTGTTACCAATTTGGAAACTAACTATTTCAAAAATGATACATGTGCAAAAATAACTATAAATAGAGTGAAATATGGGTGCATCTCCTAAAGAAAATAAAGGAAGCAAGAAAAATATGAGAGGGAGAGAAGAGAGAGGGAAGGAGGTAGTGTGTGATAAAGACGAGGGATATACCAGCACCAGCACCCCATGGTCTACCATCAGCATTTGCCAGCTCTGCACGTAACTTTTCAACTTCACGTGCCATGGAAACCAAGTTCTTTTCCATTGCCTGCCTCTGTTCCATCAGCTCAATATTTCCCTTCTTTTCATAATCAATAGCAGTTCTACAAGACAGATTTTTCATATTAGCATTTGAGGGGTTGATCCTTTTCTTTCTCCTTTTGACCCATTATATGACAATGCCTGTAGTTAAAGCTAACATCACATGGCGCACACAGGTCTTAAACAAGATAAATAAAACAATGGGCAAGAAGAAACCTAGCACGCAAAAGCTCCTGATGTAGTCCATCAATCTCCGCTCGCATAAGTGGAATCTGCTGATTATCAGCTTTCAGTTTTCCTAGGTCTTGTGTAAGGGTCTGAACTTGCCCTGCCAGATCCTGCCTAATGGTATTCAGCTTCTGAACTTCAGCACGAAGTTGTACTGCCTCATTTTTCAAAGGCTCAGCCAAGCGAAGATCAGCTTCCAGTTTTAACCCTCTCTCAATAAGCTCCCTTGAATGTACTTCTTGTTCTGCACGAATATGCTCAATGGCAAGATTCATATGATGAATTTCCTCCTTAGCACCACCTAACTCTCTCTGCAGAGCCATACGATCTTCAACCAGCCTCTGATTTTCACCAAAAAGCCTCCGAATTTCAATATGCTGCATTTCAAGTTCTTCTTCCATCAAAGCAGGATGAGGTGGCATTGGCCGAGTCAAAGGACCCCGGACAAGAGGTCCTTCTGGGGGATACCCACGCCGATTATCGAATGCATCACGAGGCATGCGATTTCTCCCTGCCATTTCAAGTAAACCTAGCAAAAAAACAGATGGTGAAAAAAAAAAACTCTGATATAACATGGGTATTAACGTCGTTTAACAAGATAGCAATTAAAGTCATCATTAAGTAGGTGCGGCATTAAAGCCTGCAGAATTTTTGTAAAGAAAAAAAAAAAAAAATCTAATAAACAATCATATGCTGTGTGAAAACTAAATTGCTCCATTTGTATATTACCCATTAATATTTTACAAAGCCACACCTTGAATGAGTCGTTATTGTAAATAACTTCTACCAAACTTGGCAATGTTTGATAAAATCAAAAGACCAGTACTATATAAATAGTTGCAGTAACGGCTTCGCATTTCGTAAACTTATGGCCCAACTAATCATGATTGATTTGTACCTTTGAATGCTATGAAAAATAAAATAAAAAAAATTTGCCAACCAATTTCCATGACATCCAAATTCCAAACACATAAACAATCAAGCTGTGTAAACTATATATGAAATGAATTGTTAAGGAAAGTATATAAACATTTATCTTTAATATCCACCATGTTCCAGCATCACCATTATAACAATTAAAACATGTACGAGTATAAATTACTGATTCACAATAAATCTATATCAGTTTCCTAAATCAACTCATGCGTCAAGAAATATAATCTAGTATAGCAAGTCAAGACATGTTCTAACCAACAGCACCACAGTGTTCAACTGTCAATAAAGGCTTGGCAAAGAGAAAAAGGGTAACTAAACAAAGGAAAAATAAACTTAAAAAGAAAAACTAAACCCTCTGTTGGTTGCCCAAAACAATTTATTTACACACTTTTTTTTAATATATATTACCCGTGCTTAAAGTAATTGGCGGCATTTGTTATATCCTTGCATGGTGGCCATGCTAAGATCAACTGTTTTAGGACTCGAGGAAACAGATAACCCCAATTCTGCTTCTCTTTTCGGTAAGTAATAATTATATTAAAAGAAGAAAACTTTACAAACACAATGGCCATAACCTGGGTGAATACAGAGCTACAATGACGAACAAAGATTCAACTCACAAACCTCAAAACACTACACACAACACCAGTCCTTACTACAGAATCAGTATACATATAAACACACTTGGCTTATATGAGATGGACGAGTTGGGCAAAACCCAGCACATAATCTACTGCAATTCAACTAATAGAGAGATATTTGAATAGAACCTTTGTTCCCTTCAATTTATAAATGTTGAGAGGGAGAGAGGACTCTAAACTTTGCCTTTAACTTTGCTTTATAAGAAAACAAAAGTATGAAAATGATCAGTTTGATTGCGTAGAAACTTCAGAAAAAACTTTAGACCTTACATGCAATCGACAGAACCCATAAACAGAGCCAACAGCAACAATATAGTCTAGCTGAATTAATATCTTTTCCTTTTTATATATAAACAAAATCGAATTAGCAATAAAAATATAATCGACGATTTTCTTCTTAATTTCACTATAGTTTCCTCAAATTTCTCGGAAACCTCCTTACCGAAATTTTTCTGGGAAACCAAACACTGGGTAGGGAAGAAAATGAGCGTGAAAATGTCAGAAACAGGAAACCCTAAAACATATATGATGTAAAAGTTCAATATTATTGAACAAAAACCCTAAAATCTAATAATTCTACGAGCAACTAATAAGAAGAACAGCATAAGAAATTATAATTAAATTCAAACCTTCTAGAGGAGACGGGGAAGGATGAGTCTGAGCTTTGTTTTCAGGAGACGACTCAGATGTATCTCCTATGTATTTTCCTACGTAGACAATACTTGCAATAACTAAGACGAACCTGATTGCTCTATTAAAAGTTGAAAACAGGCACGAGGACTACGTGTCCTTGGTGCGGCTCCAGACGCACTTTTGAAATTTTATTTTATTTTATTATTGTTATTTTTTTATGGCATTTTAAAAAAGGTAAATTACACTAGGGTTGTAGATGGAAGGAAACATCGATCAAAATCTTTGATGAGGTTTTGAACAAATTACACATGCTTAGATCATGTAATTTTTATTACTTTGAACTTCGAAGGGATGTCTTTATGCAAAAACACCAAATCTCATGAGAGGTCCAAATAATAAACGCTAAATGATTTACCTGTTTATAATTTGTCTAACATGGAGAAAATGTCGTCGTAATTTACCATTTTAAAAAATGTTCCTTTCTTGGTCCATGGAAGCTCGGTAAGGCCCAGTTGTCCTAACTTCTAACAAGGCTCAGCATTCTTTTGGAGAAAAATTTAATTGCGCTAATTGTAGTGATGATATGGTATCTCTAGCTTATTAAATACGGACACGTAGTGATAGATCTCACGAAAATAAAGCACTTTTACTTATACAATATAAATACAATTTGTTGATAATACTAGTAACGAATTATTAAAAGTGCATGAAAGTCTTTCTCGTTCTTTGGGTAGAGAATTTGCAATAAAGCCATTCTTTTAACAATAAATTCAAGTTGGGCTTCAATTAGTTCATTTGAGGTCCATAATCATGACAATATTATGTTGTGCTTGGAAAAGCATGAGTAAAAGTAAATGAACTAACAAAAAAGAGAAAATTAACTCCTCTTTAAATAAGCGAAACTACAAGACCTCTATTGTGTATTTAAAAATTATAGAAACTTCCCCCTTTAGACTTTGTAGTTGGCTATTACCAAATTTTATAATTTTACTAATTTGTCCTGATGTTTAAAATAGTTTTTTTTGTTGTCCTTGCACATATTTCGAGGAAAAAAATGACATTCTAAAATAGAGTAGTGTTATGAAGGTAAGAGGGCACGAAAAGAACTTAAGAAATCACCTATACTTTGATTAGAATCGAATTAGATAAAATAACTGGACAAAGAAAGAAAACAAGCTAAAAATGATAAATGGGAGAGAACATAAAAATGATGTAGAGTGGAAGTAGAGCCTTCTTGACGAGTCCCCCCACGCATGGCCCTTAGGGGTATTTATAGGGTTCACGACTCGAGTATGTGACAGCTGTTATTCGCTACCTGTAATCATCTCGGTCAATTACAAATATACCTTTGAAGGGGTGCAAGTCTCTTGTACTCGTGAAAGGCTTTCATGGTATGCAGTCAATGAACCCGCATGCTCACTAGCCGCGACCTTATACCGCATAATCTAATGAACTTCTTTCTTAATCCTCCATTCCACGATCAACTCATTTTTCCCTTTAGGACTATGATGTCATACATCTTGATATGTCACCATAGTTGTTTGAACCATATTACCACGCGCAAGTACATATAGCTCCCACACATATATTGTGTTATTTAACCAGTTCTACCTTCTTAACCTCGGTGATAGCCTTGCGATTAGCTTTCTTTTATTTTATAAGCAAAACTGGTTTAACACTTTCTCGGTTTGTGCCGTAATAAATGACGCTAGGTTATGGGCTTTGGAGTGAGTGATATTTTGAGTTATTTCTTGCCCTTCAATTTACACGACTGTTTTGGTCAATCATATTCCCAAAATGCCTTTTTGTCGTAACCGCATAATCACTGCCTTGATGTGTCGTTGCAATCCTGGGATGTACCCAGAGTCTCTTTATACCTTCATTCCCTCATTCGAAGAAATATAACTGAAGATTCTCAAGGTACATCCGTGAGGAAGAGTGCCCCATTTCCTTATCCCAAAGTACCACAAATGCCCCCTCATGGGCATTGAATTAAATACCATACGATGACTTTGTTGATGCTCTTTTGGTCCTCGCAGATCCCTTTTGGACCTCGCGGGTCCATGTGATCCACGAGGCCTCGCGGGAGAAGCTTATCCCGTGCGATCTCATGGATGACACTCATCCGCATTTCTTGACTTCCTTTTCGCAAACTCCCTTAATACTTTTTAACCATATTTACAAATACTAGCAACTTTCTAAATAACAAGTTGTGATTGGTTTCAACCAATCATTAAAAGTGTGTGAAGCGACAGTCACCCTAATAATTGTCGGTAGCATTCTTATTGGATTATATTTTTATATACTCTTATTGGATGGACTTCAATAGAGTATTGGTTCGATGTAACCTTTTGTTTTAGATTTAGGTCTCGTCTGAGTTCATTCTTATTGAATTATATATTTATACAATTATGTTAGTTTAATAAATCATTTAAAATATGGTTAACTTCAATTACACCCCCTGTACTTTGTCCAATCTTCAAGGAGACCCCCCCCCACATTTGCAAAAATTCAGTCAGACCCCTTACTTTTTCTGACACACATCAGTCTCCCCTCTCAGTCAATGGTCAAAATTGGTCAAAGACACTTTTTGCTGACATAAGCAAAAAATTAAATTTTAATGCCCAAATTACCCCTCAACGATTTTGTTTGTCTACACAGCATATCAAAATCCCCCTCAACAGTTATGTTTGGATATTGGGACAGATAAGGGGTTGCAGAGCTAGATGCTCAGTCACAAAGCTACTCATCAATGGTTTCCATGGCAATCTGGCTTGATCCCGACCGTTCATAAAAAACCTAAGCTACGATTCTATTAAATCTATCACAACCTTCACATTTCTCCGGCAATAGCCCCAACTGGCGGAGTCACCACCACCACCACCACAATCAGCACCACTACCACAATCAGAAGTAGCATCACCACCACCACCAACACAATCAGAAACACCACTGCCACCCAACCCAGCCTTAGGCAGTCCACTCTACAGCAAGGACTGGCGAAACCCGGTCCCGGACACAGCAGCCTCTCTATCTCAGGAAGTCATCCCCATAAGGATCATCAACCAATTGCCTATCGAACAAGTCAAACTCCTCTCGAAAAAGCTAGACGTCCCGACCATCTTGAATGTCTTCGCTAATTGGATGACTTCGCAGCGATAGAAGGATATGAAGGAGTTTTTCAAGTTCTGGGTCAAGTTGTTTGACACTAAAGGGAAGCCTAATCAGTCTGACGTGAACTTGTACAATCAATACCTGAGGGCTAATATGATGATTAGAGCGTCGGCCACCAAGATGCTGGATTTGGTGGCAGAAATGGTGAACTACGGCATTATGCCTAACACTGTGTCATTTAATTTGGTCCTCAAGGCGATGCATCATTCCAGAGAGAACGTTGCCGCTAAAAAATTGCTTCAACGGTTAGCTTTTCTTGGATGTTTGTGTTTTATCGATTTGTGATTACATTTTTAAGATTATAGATTACTTATCTTAGGTTACAATACCATCAATAAGTTTAGAGAGAGAAAAAATTCCAAAAAAAAAAATTTAGAGAGAGAAGATATGCCATTCCACTTCTGCAGTTAGGGATCTAAGAAAGAAATATTGGTGATAGCAGGAGAAAAGTATGAATGGTCGAATTGATGGTTTCATTAGATAATTTCAGTTATAGATTAATGAGAATGATGGAATTTCAGCTTGGCCCAGGCTTGGAATACACATCGATGAAGAAAATAAATAGCGTCGTCATCATTCGGTTCACCGGTAAGTTTTGTCCGGCCTCAACTTGGAGGCACTGCTCGCCGCCGCGGTTCATGCTTAGGTTAAAACAGTAGAGAAATAAAGTGTTTGTCTTTTCTCTCCTCTCTCCTCTCATCGAATGCGACTCCAACACAAACACCATCGATGTTGTTCAATTCTCTCCGTCCCGCTCTTGCTCGCCGAAAAAGAGCAAATCAGTTAAAAGTGAGTCGATTTTGTTATTGTTATTTTCTAAAATAACAAAGAGTAAATTAGTCATTACATTTATTTATTTGTTTTTATCCGCCGACAATGTCTGACGGGGGGTCTGACTGAATTTTTGCAAATGTGAGGGGGTCTCCTTGAAGATTGGACAAAGTACAGGGGGTGTAACTGAAGTTAACCCTTTTAAATATCACTTAGGCTTCGTTCGGTAGGAAGGAATAAAATTGGATAGAAGGGAGAGAAGAAGTGAAGAATGAGACTTCCCTAGGGAAGAAATTACGAACTTCTTTCGTTTTGTTAGGTTGAATGGAAGAGAAGAAAAGAAGCTCATAGCTCACTTTGTTCGTTAGGAGAGGAGGGAAAGAAAATTTAAATTATTTTTACTATTTTTTACCACTTATTTAAACTTTTATTATGTGATAAGTACAATTAAATTTGTTGTTTAACATATATATATATATATATATATATATATATATATATATATAATCATATTTTATCATGAAATAAACTATATATATATATAATAAATAAATAAACAAATAGCCCACTATCTACATGCCTTGTGGGGTCAGAGAAAGGGATTCCATCATGTCAGAGTGCCTTTACTGGTGAAGCAGGTGGTGTCTGTGCGAGAATTGAAATTTGGAGTGACTGTGTGATACCCCTCGGATCCGAGACACGGGTTGATCAGGCCCAGGCCCAAACCCGAGGGAATATCAAATAATTAAAGTATTTTAAAGCAAACACAGATGACAAAATGAAACAAAAGTGATGGAATAAAACTGAAAGTAACATTAATTATAAAATCCTCCATGTATAACTGAAAATTGAAAATCCAATCCTCCAAAACTTCAAGGTTACAACTTGGGAATCCACTGATGGACCCCTAACCAAAAGTTCAACTGAAACTGAAAACTGAAAATAGATAATACTAGAAATATCGAGAGCAGTCCTACGAAATCAGATGAGGGTGAGACTGTCCTCGACAAGCACGATCAAGCTCTAAGGCTGGAACCGTCCTGTACCTGAAAAGAATAATAAAGGAGTGGGTCAGACCCACGAGCAAGTTCTAATCTAACTGCAATCCATACAGTGACCCGATACGCAGATGCACCGTAGACACCTCACAATATCTATCTAGTCCATACGTATAAATATATCCACACTAAGGGACATTCACCAGTCTATAATAGGGGTCTCAACCTGAATAGAAGGCAACATGCGAATACGCACCCAAAGGTGGGCATGAGTACCTAGACCTAACAGGGTACACCTCAACCTATTATAACCAGCTACGCATCCACTGCATATACGCACCCTAACCAACGAGTCTGAGACTCAAGCTCAACTCGTGGTACCATAACCATATATATAAAGTTCGTCCAAATTCAGGGTATGCAGTTCAACTATTTATTAAACTGTCATACAACAAACCAACTAGTTAGTCATTCAACTTATTCAGTTGATATGACTTAACTACCATCCGTTAATCCAGGAAGTCATCCAACTTGTTTACAGCTGATCTGACTTAGTCACAATTAGGATTCGATATCTTTCAATCCATTCCATTAATCCATTAGGTTAGGTTTATGCGTTTTGAGCTAAACCGTCCCTAGTATGTCACCGTCCCATACCGGTACATACCATCCTCCATATCCATATAAATTACAACATATATAACAGTTCAATAATTTACAGACCAAAAACTACCATCCAAACAATTGCAGAAAAATATTTAAAGCTTCAGCAATTTAAATCTAAGCATTTAACCATATAGTTGCAGGAGACGATTTAACAAATCAACAACTAACATCCAGAGCATGCATAGACCAAATTTAATATGTCAGGGACTCCATCATGCATGTGAATAGGTTAAATAATCCTATTATTAACCAATAAATTGCTAAAACAATTCAGAAGATTGTTTAAATATTTCAGCAGTTTAAATCCAAGCATTAACCATATAGTTGCAGAAAACAATTTAATAATTCAGCAACTAGCCTCCTAAACATGCATAGATCAAAATTAATAATTAAATGACCTTATCATGCACTTGAATGCATTCTAAAACAAGTTTTATAAACACATTATGTTCCATCAAATTGCTGAATTTTAATTCAACAATTAATTCAACTTCCATTTGTTAAGTGCCTTAATTTTTACACTGTTTGTCCCGATAACTTAGAATTAAACTTTACTCAATTTAGGGTCTTAATAACACTCAAAATTCATTCCTTGATCCCTCTGTAAAGTTCCAAATTCATTCAAACAGTCTCCATGCTCCAACAGTGAACATAGTATGTAGAAAATTAAAAAAAACCCGTAAAATAAATCAAAACAACAAGGGAGCCTGCTCCAGAATTTGGAGCAGGCTCTTTTCCAGCCTAGAGCCGGCTCTAGGACTTCTTAGAGCCGGCTCTACTTTGTTGTGGGAGCCGGCTCCCACTTCCATGGAGCCGGCTCTTACCTCCTCTGAGAGCCTTGTCCCCGTTGCTTCGTTTCAGTCCGTCCGCTCCTTCTCTGATCAAATCCAACCACTCTGTTGGTCTCTAAAACTAATCTTAGGACTCGTAATTTAGTCTAGAAGCATTCCCCAAGATTGTTTATAATAGTTTTGCAAACAATTACAGAGTTTAATCAAGCCATTTAAACTAGCATAGTTGAAGAACAATACTGAAACTAAATTGCGACATCAGTTTTATCCCAACCCCTCTGTTCTTCCTCCAATTTTAAATTTGAAGTCTTAAATTACATCTAGTATCCAATCAAACCTCGGTTGATTTCAGTAAGATTCCAAATAAAAATTAAACCAGTAAGACGTTACGCCAAAACAGAGTCAAGAAAACATACGTGCTATAATTGTTTTGTAAATAAATTTCACAGATAAAACGATCAAGTAAAACATATATAAAACATGCATGGTTCAGTTTAAGGCCAATTAATCTCCTAGAGATGTCCAGGTGCACAGAACACAAATCAAAGGGAAGGAGGAAGATAAGAACTTGCCTGTACAGTTTTATAAACAGAACCTTGACGCCGTTGTTCTAAGCTTTCCGGCAACCACTGACTACCTTCTAGCCTCCTCTGGTTCTGATCTAATCCACCAAACACCTCCCTTGGTCCTCTCTGTTATTCTCCTTGACAGACCGTTACGACGCTCTGTTCTCTCAACTTCTCTCTTTACTGTATACGGGAATATGGTGAATAAGGTTTTAGAAACCCTCGACAGACGTATACCCATATATTTATAGAGTTATACCAAAACCCTAAATTAATTAAAGCCCTAACTAAATCCTAACCGGCCCATAGAACTTAATTAAATCCTGTGTCGGCTAAAGAAACTAAACCCTCAATTATGAAAAAAAAATAGTTAATTAAAATACTTCCTAAATTACTTCCTAAATTAAAACCTTTAATAATCAATTAAATAAAATAAAATGCAATTTAAAAAAATAAATAGATACCAATTAAATACACGTCACACAGGTAAACAATAATAAATAGATACCAATTAAATACACGTCACACAGGTAAACAATTAAATAAAATAATTAAACCAAATAATCATGCAAAAAAAAAAAATACAACAAAAATAATAAGTAAATGCCGAGACTATCCTTTTAAATTAGGGGTATTACAGACTGGACTTGGTTTTGGGACTTTTTGACATACTTTTGTATTAGTCCTCTGAATCCATGCACCCCCAGCCTTTGCAGGGTTGACTTTAATTGGATAATTGTTTTTTCAGCCGTGGATCAATGGTCATCATCAAAAGGTTTCATCGCCACCTGTTTATCAACTTTGACTACCATATTCCTATTGACCTAATACAGATCTATGGTGCTGCACTAACTGTTTTGATCTTTTGATAATAATATTATCATAGGTGCAATAATGGTGCTAATAAAGTGTAGAGATATTCATTTCTTACTATTTGGGTAAATGATTTAGAGAATGAATGTCGACGGAGATCATATTGCTTTAGCAGACTCTACCACTAACCGCTAACACGTGAATCAAATCAGTTTGTAAATTGACCATATTCATGTGTGGGTCTATGTATGTGTATAGAGTGAGAGTGATAGACTGACCATATTTATATGTAGATCCATGTATGTGTATAGACCGAGTGCGCGAGAGAGTTTGCTACCTGCGTCACAGATATTGCTGAGAGATTCGGTTGACAAAATCCAACGATTAATATTTGTGAAGGATAATTATGCAATTTGAACTTTTTATAATAGCCCAACTTATTTTCTCTTCTGTCTTCCGCTCAAATTTGAACGAATAAAAATTTGTAAAGGATGAGGGATGAGTCCCTCCTATTTTCCTTTCTCTGTATCTTCTTCCTACTGAACGAATGAATTTTGTTTATTCCCTCCTATTTTTCCTCGTATCTTGTTTCTTCCTAACAAAGAAGAACTAAAATTTTAGTGAGAGTGACATTATTATTTCACTTATCACTTAAAATGATCTAAAATATCATTGATTGATTTAACTTTTTGAATTTTGGTCTGCTTTTGGGATTGTAATCAAACTTTGTTTAAGTTGTTGGGCCTCTTTGATGAAGTTATGGTTTGGGCCAGCTAATGTTGCCTTTTGTATAATGGGCTGTTTCTCTGCCCTGTAGAATTGTACCTATCAAATACAATTTACATCTACCTTTAGAAAAAAAAAAAAATAATATATACCTGAACAACCCATTAATATAAGCCTAACAATTGATTAGTGGTGTTCAATCCAACAACATATATAAATGATTATGAGGGCAATGTCATTTACATCGATTTGTTTGGTCAAGAAGTCAAATCGAAAAAGTTTTTATTGATAAGTTCAAATATGTTTCATTCGCAAAGATAGAATACTAGCTTCACAAAGACTTAAACCACGATTAAACGACACTAGGGTGGGTCACGAGTTTTTGCCAATTATAAAGAAGTTCCTCTTTTTAATCCCTTTGTTTATTGGGACCCATGAACCCAATCATATCCATACACCCACCACTACGCAATAAGAGAAGCTCCATTGGCCGACTTTTATTCCAATTTACATACAAAAACAATCATACAATATAATACCCACGGCCGCTAACCAACGAATGAAGCTCCAAAGCAATCAATGAAAAATCAAACCAAAATTTCACGGGTCCCTCTCAATAGATATATAAATTGTCTACATATGTGCAATATATATAGCTAAGAAACAAGACAAATTTAATGTGTGTCAGCTTGAGAAGCCCACCACACGTGTGCCTTCTGGCATCCTACTTTTTCTTGTTTGATCCTTCGTTGTCTTCTTCTTTCCATGGTCTTGTTTTGTATCATTTGTAATTTTGTATGGAACTTCCTCTTAGCCCAAAGCATCTCAAGTTTCTCTTCTCCTATTCACCCAAACTGGCATTCTCTTCTTCATTCTTACTGTGGGGAAGTGGACTACTGAATCTTCCTCAGCCACCCACCTACATGTAAATCAACAAATTATAATTCATCAAGACATATATTACTATTTCTTTATCAATTTGCAATCGCCATTGATTTATAATGTTAGATACAATGTAACATGTGTAGTTGCTAAGTGCAAATCAAGTTCACCTCGACTGGTATTGTCGATGAACATGATCAAGATACATTTCAATAAGATATATTGACGAGTCAATGAGGTGGGTTTCATGCATTCTAATGACTGATATTCATCACGACACAACACATTTGAGACTATAGGAAATATTCCTCTTCGAATAATTATGTCACATAGGACCCGTATTTAATTTGGGCTCATTTTTTTTCTTTGGGACAACTGAATAATCTAATTGAATAATTTACATGTGTAATGATTGGCATGTCCCAAACCATTGTACAATTGTCGATCAAGTTCACATCTGCAATGATTAGTGAGTTGGGTCTACCATGAATCATGTGTTAGATTATGGATTCATAGTCATCAGTCTGTATTATTTGGTACAATGTCTGCGAACATAATAATGCCCTTCTAGTCATACACAGTTGATATACAAGGTGCCACTATTTAGCAGGATAATGTCTTCACTGATATGGTATTAGATGAAAATGGTTTTGCTACTAACCGATTTTGGAAATTAAACTGTGTGCAATATGTACTAGTCACCTCATATGGCTTATATATCTATATGATGCTAGTAGATTTTTTCGAAAGTTGAAGCATGTCACAATATTGCTCCTAGCATGGCTTAAACTCTCAATCTCCTTACCGAAAAGAGAAATGATCATGCCATTTGAGGTAATGTCCGTTGGTTGATGCTAGTAGATTAACTCATTAAAATCTAATTCCCATTGTCTACAGAGAGAGGAGTGGGATTGTCATCACCTGAATTGAGTAACAAAGTGGTGGAGAAAAATGGAAGCTTCCAGCCTGGCCAAGTCAACCCCTGGACACAGCCTTTGTCCACCACCAAATGGAGTGAAGCTACAATTGTTTGTCTCTTTTTCCTGTGAAATCCCAATTGTTCAGAGCTAGAAATTAAACAACAGAAAGAAAAAGAAACCAAACAAGCTGCAAAGAAAAAGGGTATATATATATATATATATCTTACTTGCCACCTCCATGGATTGAACTGCTGAGGCCAATCATATAGATTTTCATCAAGATGAACTGATCTGAAGTACGTAAAAACACACCATCCTTTTGGAATCCGATATCCTTTTATCTCCACATCTTTCATGGCCTTTCTCATCACCCCAACGATAATGTTTCCCATCCTTAGAGTTTCTGTAATCACCTGTTAATAACATTTTAATGCATGAGTTATACCAGCTTATTTTTACTTATCAAAAAAAAAAAAAAAAAAGTTACACCAGCTTATTTTAGTTCGTTTTCTTTGACTAATTAGTTCTTAACACTTACATTTTGTGTGAATGGTAACGACAAGTAATCGCGCCAATTCAATGGCTCTCCAAGCTGCTCTTTGAGCCTCTTCAACTCCATGTTTTCGTCCTGATCGATCAAGAATCATCGATCAAGAGTTCAATCAGGGCAAACTAACAAATGAGTAGTAATTCATGCATGTCACGAATAGTTATATTATTTACTGTTGCATAAAATTGTTGTCACATAGCTAGTAAAGTTAGATATTACTATAAGAAAGGCCTTGTTAGCCACAGTGATCACTGCAAATGTGTCGGTGGAAGATGTATGACAACACAATTGAGAAGGAACAAGAAGGCATTGATGGCATTTGTGGAGATCGAACTTTGAAAAGGACAAGAACCAATTATTAAGGACACAGCAGTGAACTTGGATTCTAGAAAAACAACAAAAAGACAACTTCTCCACATAAGGTGGGGCGGATTTTGCTACTAACAGTTGCGACTGAGACAAATGTCACTTTGGGACCCACATAAATTATGCGTTGAGGAGCAACAGTAGCCATAGTCGCCAATTTTTCATACTGACGGACTTAAGTAGGCCATTGGAACTGAAAAAATTAAGAAGCTAAGAAGAAATTAATTTGCATTCGTACCACCAATTGTTGGAGAGAAGCGGGGCAATCTGAAAGGTATTTTATAGCAAGAGTCATGAGAACCGGCACTGAATCCTCTCCCGGTATCATCAAGTCAATCATATTATCTGAAATCAGATCATCTGTTAGCTCTTCACTTGCATTATTGAGCAAGACCTCTGCAACATCTTTTGGAACACTTGATAAGCCACCATCCCTTTTAGCTTCGATGATTTTATGTACTAATTCAACCATTTTCTTCTTTGCCTGAAACAATTTAAAAGTTTCAAAATTTCAAGAGACTCACTATGGAATATATATTGACAAAATTCTATTTCATAGTAGTACATATAAATATATATAACTTGCCTGTAATGATTTGTGGAGTCTACTTCCAGGTACATTTATGGGCAAGGACATGAGACCAGCTATGAATTCTTGAAATTGTTGCTTTAGAAAGTCCATTTCTCCACCAGGGTCCAAACTAATCAATGCTCTGACTAATACTTGAAAGGCAATCTGAACACATACTACTTCTTAGCAACATCTTAGAAAGAATATTAAACACAATTATTATGACACTACTAACTTTACAAGACAACATAATTATTCATGCCGTCTACTATTATCCCATGCAATTATCATGTTACTTGATTAAGTCTATCATGATGACACTTCAAGATGAGTTCGTGCCCTCAGCTGTTGAATTGATGCGTTGGTTCTTGATTTGGCAGCTGAGACGAAAGCTTTTTCTAATACAACGTCACGAAGTAGCTACAACCAACATTCAAACATCAAAATTCATTTTTGAGAGAGGTAAGAGAGAGCTAACATTTTTTGTTTCATCTTGGATGTATATGGGGCGATCTTCTCTCCAATTTGCCATTGATTCTTGAACATACTTGTGCATGTCATGAGTGATCTGGGCTTTGAGATGTGGAGACTTGAAGAAAGCTCCAATGAGTCCATGAATTCTCCTTTGTAAGCTTCCATTGATGAGCAATATAGAAGACTTCCCCATCAACTCAGTCAGAGATTTCGGATAAGACGGCACGAAAGCCCTTGCATCACTTTGCAAAACAAATCTACTCACTTCTGCATCTGTAGAAACTATAGTTGGACTACCAAATAAGTGTGACTTGAACACCTCCCCATACCTATATATATAAACACCTCAAAAACCTTGTTATTACAAATTCATCATTCAATATTCATACTCATCAATCTATATTTATCAAAATAGCATAAATTAACACCAACCCAATTCAAAGTTTTGATTTTCCATTCACTTTTGATTAGTTGAAGCTTTACTTAAGCACTATATAACAAACGCAAACTCATAGCTAGCTAGTCACATATATATATAAAAGATCTAACTTATATAAGTTGGTAATAAAATTGGGTTATATGAAGAATATTGAAAATGCTCATGATATATATATGGGACTTACATGGTGCGACGCTTGTCCATGAAGGACTCGGGGCGGTCAGAGTAAGCACAGGAGATGAAGTCGATGGTTTCGCCGAGGAGAGGCCATCCAAGAGTGCCTAAAGGAAGTGGATTTTTGTAGCTTGATGGTGATGATGATGATCTAATACTACCACTGTTTCTAATGGCCCTGTAGATGAGGATTAATATGGCGGACAAGATCAAGATTGTTGTGACAAACACATCAATCCACAAACTGTCCATTTTTTTAGATACTTTTCACCGCTCAAAAAATGGACACTGTGCTTCTCTCAAGTATATATATATACGGTTAATCATGTACTCATATATATATTTTGGTGATGGAGGAATTATTGTGCATGTTGTATGTGCACACGAGTGAAAGAAGAGAGAGATGGAGAGAGAGAGAGAGAGAGAGAGTCTTTGTGCTGTGTTAGTGTGTACAAGAGGGAGCATGTTTGGGGAGATCAAAGGAGTCATCACATACTAAAGCCTCCAGTGTGTGTGCTAGCTAATTGATGTTGGATTAAACCGGGTTCAAACCGGTTAGGTTAGTACAGGTTGGTCCAAAATTTTATTGGTCACATTTTGAGTCGAAAGTGACTCCAAACTAATCTTTAAGGCTGCTCTGGATTACTTATGAATCGTGTGAATATCGAAACTCTCACTCAAATAGAGTCAAGTTAGAGGCACTTTTTGTTTTGTTTTGTTTTGTTTTGAGAGTCAAGTTTAGAGGCACTTTTTTTGTTTTGTTTTGTTTTGTTTTGTTTTGAGAGTCAAGTTTAGTGGCACTTGCTACTGGTTTACAAATAGGAATTATTTTCTGTTTTCTGTTGCCATCTTACAAAAAATGGAATAAAAAAATATAAATCACGTTTAATAAAAGCACCGTTTGATGTTTTTTTTATATTATTTATTCTTTGAATTTAAATATAATCAGTGTTTATGTGCATTTTTGTTTATCAATAAATAAATATTATATTTGATAACTTAAAAATATTTCTTAAAAATAATAAACAAAAAAAGCATGTTTATTAACCTTAAATTATTTTTACAAAATTCAATACAATAAACATAAAAAAGGGCGTAAAAACTTGTTTGATAACTAAAATATTGGGTTAGAGATTTTTTTTTTTTTTTTTTTTTTAGAATTGAAAATGAGAACAACGTTTAACAATATGCTCTGGTAGTTTAGTTGACATTTTTTTAAAATTATTTTCCGAAAATTTGGTTAAAATTTTTTTTCTAAGAATTGTTTATTGAATTCTGAAGAATTGTTTACTGAGTGACAATTCAAGTAACCACCGCATGGTAATTGTCGGCCGTTTAAACCCGCACGATTTTGCTCTTTTACTTTATTGAAAATGGCCTCATACAAGTTGAAGTGTACAAATCTTACATATATATACTATATAACATTTTCTTTTTCCACACTCAGACAACATGAAATTGTGCACATATACCTCGCCTAGTGTGATAGCCTGCCAATCCTTCTTTCACCCGACCATGACACACCCACCCCATAAGATCGCCACATGAATGCTTCCCACACTTTGACAATACTTACAGAATTATTAGTATAAGTTACCAAATAAAACATTACACACGGACTCTTCTTTATATCATCCTCGACTGTCGTCTCTCTCTCTCTCTCTCTCCCTCTTCAGTTTCTCTTTGTACCATCACCCAGAATGTCATTTTTTTCTTTCTCCTAATTAGTATTTAGACACTTTTTACATCCAAAAAGAGTCGAACCTCATTTCATCTACTGGCGCTGCGATTGGGACGGCATCACTCGCCATCATCAATGACCAACGATCTATAATTGTTTCTGTTTCATTTTCATAATCTTGGTTAGTTAGAAAATTATCCACAAATTTTGTTTAGTACAACATATTAGAATAACACTGATTTAAAGTGACTGATAACAGGATAATCTGAATAAGAGCAAGTAATTAACGAGGGTGCTGCCATCTTAGTGAGCTCATGCCTTCGTCATAACTTCTTTTTTTTTTATTATTATATTTATAATTAATTAAGAACACATATTCATCTCTATAAGTTAATTTAGATATGGAATTGTAAGTCTTAGATTGTATAGTAAGGTAGAATGAAGTGGCAAAATATTTTAAAAATATTGACTGGAATTATGAATTGTTTGTTAAAAAAAAAAAAAAAAAGCGCTAGAGACGTCCCCACGTCTATCATTGTCTCGTGGCACGGAGGATTGAGAGTCCCCCCCTGCAGTTCAGCTGGTGGCCTCGTGCATTCATGTGAGACTCAATAAATCCAACACATTCTCCCATCATCATTTGCCTCTACTTTTGTCCACCCCTCTCTTCCACCGAAATCATCACCCAATCCACACACCTAGGCCAACCTCTCATGTTACTTTCATCTCTCATTTTATATGGGACGCCTCATGTGCCTCTTTTATTTCTTTACTAAAAATACTCTTAATTATACACAATGCCCACTTGAGCACGCCTTATATATATTTGGAAAAACATTATCATAAAAGAATAATGATATCTGCGCCGAAGGTTTTGAACAAAATGGGAAATCAAAGCCATTAAATACGCTCAATCAAAGAATCAGGCGAAAAAGGGAGAAAGTTCTCTGTTCTTGTTTGTCAGTAGCTGAATCCTGCCAGAACCACAAGAATCTTTGTACGATCCATACTAGATTTGACCAACTGCCCATTTTATCTCCCTTACAGAGAGTGATAGGTTTGAGGAAGAAGAGATTATACCATTAGAGCAATGGACTAACACACCTATTCATTAAAGGACAACGGAAGGTCAAATTTGCTCTTAATTTTTAAAGCACAACCTGATTTTTGAACTGGGCAATATCGTCATTTAATGACCTCGGCTCAAATTAGAGTGCCCAAAACCAAAAGAGTATAATTAAATCCAAGTCGACCTCTTTCCAAGGGGACCTAATAATTTTACCCCATAACTTTCAATGAATCTCTTTGACTGTGAACAACTAATTAATATTTAATTCTAAACAATGACCCAAATTTTGTATGCCTTTGTGTTTTATATATTGAGTTCCATGCCCCAACATTCCTTATCTCTATGTTCAAACTACCTAACTTGTGTTCTTTCATTATCTTATTCTAAATATGTTTTTTTAATCCAATGTCATCATTCCATTAAATTGCTCCTCCCTATCTCTCTGTCTCTCTCTCTCTCACACACACACACACACTTAATTGTTAATCGAGCCATATCTTTGCTCAAGAATCCAAGAGAATATTTTGGAGATACATGTATGTATACAGTTCAAAAGTATTGGATTTTGTGATAGGTGAAGAGAGCATATGAGCTAGAGATGGGGAATAAATGAGTGTTGGTAGTTGTTATTGGTTTGATGTGAAAGTTGCATGTTGTGGGAACTCTCAGTGGGCACCTTGGGGGTGTCCACATCCTCTTAGGAAATTGTGCATGCTTTCATATACACTCATGCCACTCTTTTATGCTCAATTTCTGAGTTTCTTAAACGGCAAAACCAATTTAAATTTACACTTTAAATACATGACATGAGCTAATGGAGTCAACAAATATGACAGGAAAGGAAATGAATTCACAATTTTTTAAAATTTCGAAGTTGAAATGAATAATAAAAAGAGAAACCCCTTTCTTGTGTGTCTCAAAACTTTGGATGCAAGGGGTGGTGGTGATGCCCAAGCGGAAAGGGTCAGACACTTTATTTGCCCCCCACCCTATAGTCGATAGAAAAGAAAAAGAAAAAACCCTTTGGATGCAACAAAGAAGGTAGGGAAGGAGAGAGAAGAATATTTCCCTTGTTTGGTTGCATGTCTATCACAACTTAAGCATCTGTTTGGAAAAAGGAGGTTCTTCATGGTTGTTTTAGGGTTGGCCATTTTGGGGATTATGATGAATTGGAAGGAAAGCCTTCTTATATAATTGATTCTTATGAGTGTGCCTATTTCATATTTGATTCCAATGACCCTAAAAGCAATTTAGATAGAGCACATGAAACTTTTTCTGAGGAGGAGATCATAGCAAGAAAGCATAACTTGCTGTGTCTGTATCCCAAGAGAAGAAATTGAGAATCAAATGTGGTAAAAGTACACAACTAATGAGAAAAGTTTTTAAAAAAGGAGCAGTGTATGACTAAAGAAACATGAAGTATTTTATTCATGATCTTGCCGATAATCTGAGCACTTCCTGTGACTCCTAAAAGATAGGTTCCCTACAAAAAGGTTCATGAATAACAGGGAAATGGACATTGATTATTGATGACTACAGAATTGACTATATATATATATATATATAACATAATATATATGTCAAGAAATATTTATAAACTTGAGCGCAGACAAACACACATATATCGGCTAGAAAGGCACCCAACAAACAGGACATTGCCAAAAATTTGTTAGGGGAGAGCATTTTGTCCAGCTTGCTATAATACACCTTGCATAACAGAAGTATGAAAAATAAAGGAACCGACATCTCAACCAGGCAAAGGAAGCCTATGATTTTTATCATTCTTCTGCGGAGGAATTCATACAATAGGTTCCAAATGAGATGTCCCATCATCTAAATCAATAAGCTGCAAAATCAAAATCTATTTCCACAATTTGGTACAAAAGGCTCCAGAGGTCTGATGGTGTCCACATCTCTCAGTGATGACAAGGTGAACGTGAAAACATATTCAGACTTGCCATTTTGAAGTTATATCCAAACTAAATAGGCTATAAGCCTAAGATAACCAAGAAAAGAAAGGAAGAAATGTGAAGCAGAAAGGAAATTTTGGCATCATGATGGAACTCAAGATTGTCTTAACAAGATATATCAACAACCTATCCCAAAATCAATTGAGTATAAGATATTTGAGCTCCACTCTACTAATATCAAAGGGGTCCTCTCTAATTTTACAAATACAGGAGACTAGTAAATTACACGAATGACTGAAAAGGACCTAGCAATAGTGTGCCCTCAGTTGACCAAAATTACAAGCCTTCTCAATATTGTGAGCAGATTGCAATGATCTTTCTATACTGGCACTCATCTTTGTGCCTAATATCCAGTACCTCCAAGGATCACCACCACCGTAACCCCTCCCATGATCTCGTAAACCCACATGACCTAATTGATGTAAGATAGGAAAAAAAATTTTCGTTAGCAACATGTACATGCACAAGCACACACCCGTAAAACCTTACACTCCAGATTACACATACACATTAAGTAGGTTCTGGATCAAACTGTCTAATTGATGCACTGTTATAGATCAGAAATAAAGCAAGCAATAATTTATGAACATTTACCAAAGGGTCTTTGGCCTAGCGGTATAACCTCCCCATCCTCAAAGAGGAAGGGAGGGGTTCGAGCCCAGGTGTGGGCAAAAGGGGGTGTGTGTTTGCTTTACCATTCGAAAAATAAATAAATAAATAAATAAATAATTGTGAACATTTGCTAATCCTAGGCTCCACTGATTTGAATATGTGGAGATCCATCACTTGTTTATGAGGCAACAACAATAGCAGTCGAGCCAACCACCATGACAAGTAGAAGAAAATTAAAGTGGCATCATATCATGAGTCATAAAACTGACAATATAACATTAATCATGGTGATAACTCTTATCTTCTCTAATGGACCCACTCTGGGTTATCAATTAGCAATGTTTTAAAACCCAGACCAGAGGGGCCAATTGGACCATCCTGACTGAGAACCAGGCCCTTAACTGTGTTTCATGAACTTCCAAAACCATTCCCCCAACTCTCTCTCTCTCCAGCCAGTTGAACCAATGAACCATAATACCCAGTTCAAGGGTCAGTTAAACCAAACAGTTTAAAAAAATTCAAGTATAGGACTCCGAATCACAAATTGTCTTCTCAGCCACCAAAAGTGTTTTACCAACAATTCATAGCTATACATCCCAAAGATTTTTCAGGAGGCAAACCACCAAAAGATAACCCCAAAAGCTGATACCAGTAAAAAGTGCTACCATTCCTCGATTAGTGGGGACAACACTGGGCAGTGACCCTTTTGTTTACTACTAACTTTTATATTTGTGATGCAATTTTGACATTATGGTTCATAGCTAGGTGACCTGATTATTGTACTGTTGCCCCTTAGCGGGACTCTTTTATGGTTTGCTCAATGGCAAGTCTAGAAACACTGAATTAGGACCTTCAAATGCTAACATCAAGAACAGAAGAACTATTCAATTTCCATGAAACATAGAAATGATTTATGTACCTAAATGTAAGTACATTATTCATGTGCATATATACAAATGTAAAATCACTAATTCAGATAAATTCGGACACTCACCCCCCCCCCCCCCCCCCCCCCCCCCCCCCCTCCTTTTGGGTAAATCACTCCCGGTCCCCTTTATAACTGAACATAATTAAGAATGGAGGTGGAGGTGCACCATGTCCTGTAGCTGCCAGCTGAAGACTGACCATCTATCCAGCCTCCTCAAGGATGCCAATAAGTTCTTTAGCAAATCTAGCATTAGCAGCTGTTAAGAAAGCGTATGTTGCTCCTTCGGCCCCAGTCCTTCCTGTTTGACCAATGCAGTGATCATAATCCTCAATGGATCCCAGGAAGGCATAGTTAATAATATATTCACATCCTTCACATCTACCACAGATCCAAAATAGAAAAGGACAAAAAAAGGAAATAAGACATGAAGTAATCTAAGGTCCAGACATTCTCCCCTATGCTTAAAGAGACAAAAACTATGCAATGCAAGAAATGTAAGAATCAGTATATTCCTTTTCTTTGGTTAGGAACTGTATATTTCTTAATGCATCCTTTCTCCCTGGCCCACAGGCTACCAACTCAAATGGTACCTAGAACACCCACTTGGAATCCAGCTACCCACCAATAAGGGGGGGGGGGGGGGGGTGGATGATCATCAGGAGCAGGATACCTAAACCACCCAAAAAGAAATAAAGCATTGACACAATCAATCCAAACCACCACTCCACAAATGTTCTATACAACTAAAAGACGCTTCAACAAACTAAGACGATTGTGTTTAATGAGCAGGAAGAGCTGGATGCAGAAATTACCAAAAAAATAAAAAAAAATTTGAGGATAGATGCCTTAATTTTATTAGGTATACCTAAAAGAATTACTTCATTATGCTGATTTCGAGTAGCATGGTTAGTGACAAAGTGTAAGAAAACTGAAAACCTGAGTATTCTCGAGTAACCAACTTCATTACCTCAGATAGATCATATAGAAAAGGGGCAGGGAGGAGAAGAAGAAAAGTGGGGACTTGTAACCATTAAAAATGGAGCCACGAGTTGCATATGGGAATATTTCAAGCATAGAAAGTGATTGTGAGGGTGCCAAAACACTTATATAAGAGATGAGCAGAATGTTGAAACAGAATTCATATACCCAACTGCCAACCGGCCCATCCCCTATTGGGACTTTTATGAGGCTTTGTTGAACTGAGATTGAACTTGTCAAGGTCAAACAAGTGTTATATCATGATGAAACTCATGTAGTAGCCTAAAAAGTAATGTATGAGGGAAAACCAATTGAAACGCCAAGCTAGGTTTGTGAGTGACCAACGAGCAACACATGAAGTACTGTGACAAAATTGAACACACTAAGGGCCATGTAGTGTAAAAGATTAATTCTTATATGTACATTGCAGTATTTGTGACAAAAAAGGTTTAATTTATTGGAGTCATATGCTTGGGATTTGATTTTATATTGCTAAACCTATACAAATTTTCCCGTATCAAAATATCCCACCGCTAGTCTTTCAATACTTGTTCTTCATTTCTTTCATTCAGTTAAAAATAATCATAATAAATGTGGTGAAATAATAGTTTGATGAATAATATTTCTATTAAACATGAAAATAATAATGCAGTAATATAAGACATTTTTTTATAGGTAGATGGAAAAACAGTTGAAGCACAGCACAGATAATAGACACTGCAGTCCAGGAGAGGTACACAATACCATTAGCATTGGAGAATGGAACCTTGCAAAACATGGAGTATTCCGCCAAACTTCATGCAAATTAAATGAAATTGCATTAAACTTTATTCACCATTATCCCTTTCCAAATAATATATCCCAAGCAAACTGAATTCATTGTCAAATTATAATAGAATTGGCAATTCGAATCAAAGTTTATTGTAAGCCCATCAACCAAGTCCAACCAATCCTAAATTCCCACCACTGCATTACAACATATGATAAATCATAACCTTAAACAAGTTACAACATATGATAAATCATAACCATAAACAAGTTTTTCAAATTCACCATTATCATGCTGCAATATAACAAATTTTCCTATGAGAAGTCATGTTAAAAGTTAAAACTAGTACCTGGAAAGGCTGTGTCATGAAAAGTCTAGACCGGCTTCGGCATATCCTGGCCTTCAATGGTGATCACTCACTGCCGTTTATACTCATCTGCCTCGCTCTGTGACATTGCCACGACAGCCGGCAACTCTACATAGAAATTCTTCTCAAACAGATTCAACCCACTACCCATCCAAATCAAACTTGCGCGGTGGCTCTGCCCTGTCATAGTAACTCCTGCTCAACGATGACCGGACAGCGCCATATCTGAAGCTCCACTGAACCCCAAATCACTGAGCAAATTACAAATTCACATGAAATGACATCGAATTTGATAGGACTAATCTGGTGTTTGGCTTCAATTTTCATTGTGTTGATGTTAGAAAGCAAAAAATACTAGCTTGTCAGGTACATGGCTTTCAATCTTCATCTGAAGACGTAAATCCTGAAGTATCCTATAAACTTCCTCCATATCTGTTTGTAGTGCATTCCCTGCTGTGAACATATATACTTTCTTCTTCACCTCAATCCAACTTTGGCCAGGGCTTTTCTTTAAACCCTCTGTCTTTGCTGAGAATCTCACCTTTGCAGAGTCCTCCCATCTCCCACTTGCAGCATATATATCTGAGAGCAGCATGTAGCTCCCAAAAGTTTCAGAGTGGAGGCTGAAAATCCGAGAAGCAGTTTCTTCTGCAACATCGGTATTTTTATACATCCTACAAGAGTTCAGAAGAGCTCCCCAAACACAAGCATTAGGTTCCATTGGCATGTTTTTCACAGTGTCACTTGCTTCTTGCAGAAACCCAGCACGGCCAAGAAGATCAACCATGCAAGCATAGTGTTCCATCTGGGGTTTAATCTTGAACTCTCTTACCATCTGATCAAAAAGCTTACGTCCCTGAGCAACAAGCCCAGCATGACTACATGCAGAAAGAACAGCAACAAAAGTAACTTCATCTGGTTTATATCCAGCTTTAATCATCTCCTCAAAAGTATATAGAGCATTCTCACCAAGTCCATGCATCCCATACCCAGAAATCATTGAGTTCCACGATATTGAGTCTCTACCATCAATTTTCTTAAATACCAAATCCCCTTCCTTAAGACTTCCACATTTTGTATACATATTAATCAACCCGTTTCCCACCAAAATGTTACTATCCATTATAGCTCGAACTACATGGCCGTGGATTTCCCTGCCAAGGCGCAGCGCTGATAACTCTGCACAAACCGACAAAACACTGGAAATTGTAACAGAATTGGCCATCATCTCAGCAAGCTGCATTCTCCGAAATAGTTCTAGGGACTCCTCCCCGCGCCCCTTTGAAGCAAATCCACTGATAACAGCACTCCAACTTATCACATTAGGTCTCACCATTGGATACCCATCTGACTTCTCCAGCTGTGAAAATATAGCATAAGCCTCATCACATAAACCAGATTCAGCATAGGATGATATCAAAGCATTCAGACTCACTATATTCTTTGAGCTCATTTCTGAAAACAAATTTTCAGCATCTTCTATGGCTCCGTGTTGCCCATACATACATATAAGTGAGTTTTTCACAAATGAGTAATTCCCAAAACCACCCTTTATGGCATATCCATGGAACACCTCACCCTCGTCACACACACCCAAAACAGATATAACCACAGCAAGTGCTTCAGCTGTAGATCCAATTCCTCTTTTTCTCATGAAACCATACAATTGCAAAACTTTTTCATTCTGCCCACACCTGGCATGACTCGAGAGCAATGCAGTCCATGTCACAGAGCTCGGTTCCAGCTCTTCAGCTTCCATCTGATGGAAGACCTCAAAAGCACTATCACAATCATAATTCAGCGAATAACCCGAAATAATCGTATTCCAAGAAATAAGGCTTTTAACAGTCATTCTATCAAACAGCCTACGTGCATCCTCCATTCGCCCGAGCTTCCCATACATACCCATCAATTCATTCACCACATGAAGATGGTGTCCAAATCCCATCTGCAAAACATGAGTATGAACATTCCTGCAGATTTCAGAATCACCCGTCATAGCGCAAGCCCTTACAACCAAAGGGAAAGTAAACCCATCAGCCCCAACCCCAAGTTTCCGCATCCGAAGATAAACCCTGAGACTCTCATCATACTCTCCGTGCGTAACATTAGCTCTCAAAATTGAATTCCATAAAAGCAAATTCGAATTGCATTCAACTGGGGTGGTTTCAAATACTTTCCGGGCATCTTGAAGAAGCCCGAAACGAGCATAGACCGACACCAGCCTAGCAGCCAAGAATGCAGACCGATATGCATAAGTGAGAACAGTTTGGGCGTGTATCTGTTTGGATTGTTGAATGGTAGTGCATTGTCGAAGAAGGTGATCAAAGAAATCGAAGATTTCATTATGGGTGCTACAGAAGTGGCCTGCCTTGATCTGGGTTCGGTTATGGTGACTGGTAATAGAGACCCAACCGCTGAAATTTGATGGGTAAGAGAGTTTGGGTAGATAGAGATATTGTGGGTTCGAAATGAGAAGTCTCGAAGAACAACCATGAAGCATGAAGGTTATAAGATTTTCCAATTTGGCTGTGTTGTCATCAACCAGATGTTTCAAAACTGAAATCTACAAAATTGAAGACTTAAAAGTACGAAATCATGTAGTATATGAATTTAACGAGGCATATAGAGAGAGAAGGGTAATAAAAGGATTACCTTCTCCGGTCACTGTACGAAACGGGGTCGCCGGAGCGGCTGTAACAGCGACTCGTGTTGTATGTGTAGACTTGTTGGTGAGAGTAGAAGAGGCATAGAGAGTATATTGAAAGGTTTTGCTTATTAGGGGATGTTTAGCGCCAGAAGTTCTTCAATTTTCCGGGTAAAAAGAGAGCAACCAAAGGTCCAAAGGACCAAATCAGACGACGCAGTCTCGGGTCGGTCTCACCCGCTTGTGATACGGTTATTATCACTATGCTACAAAATGTCCCAAACACGTAATAGAATTTTTTTTTATTTTACCATATAGTGAGCATACTAAATGCGAGCATACCAAATAATTCAAATTATAAGGAAAAAAATCAATTTTCTTTTTTGGATTTCTAATTTCATGTGCTAAATAATTGAAATTAAAGTTGTATGTTGTGATTTTTATGTGATTATGTTATTGATTTCAAATAAATTTGGTTCTCATATATTATGTCATGACTATAAGTTATTATAATATACAATTTGTTCAATTCTATTACAATTAATTGTAAGATAATATGAACGGTTTTATTATAAAATATAATTTTAAAGTTTAATACAAAACTTCTATTTATTATTTAATTATTTTTTGTATGAAATATTAATTTATTACAGTAACATGTATTCATCAAAATGGCTTATTTACTATGTCTAGATTTATTACAATTTAAACAAAACAAGGGATTAAAAAAACAAAGCTTGTTATGTACAAAATTATCAATAATTTGTCGTGTTGAATTATATTAAGGCGGCTCCGTTTGTTTCGACGTAAAATATTTTTTTATTTTTACTTTGTCGATATTTGGCAAAGGTCTATGTCGAAATTGAGGTCGAGTCAATCGGAAGGGATATGTAAAATAATTTGTTAAAAATTGATGGATAAGTTATTTTTGTTAAATTATAATTTTTTTTTATAATTATTTTACTACAATCAAACACCATAAAATAAAAAAATATTTTTAAAAAAATATTTTAAGTCCAAACAAAAAAAATATTTTAAGGCCAAACAAAACCAGTGATTATTTACGTATAAGCCATTACAACCGTGTAACATTGTGCAATCACATCTGTGCCGTATAACTTGTACAGTGCGAAGGATCCGGGCTCCAATAAGTAGTGGTCTAGCTTGGTGACTACTTGACCCGACCCAACCCGTCTATGTCCGACCCCAGTGGATTTTGGTTATTTCCTGCAGCAAAGGATTGCATTTGTCCCTCTCATACTAGAATATGGCCGTTGCTCTGCCAATGCTTTCACTTTCACATTCACTTTCAGTGAAGGTGAAAGCTTCATGGGACACACAGCAGAGACTCTCCTACAACCCTCACCGCCTAACACCCAAAACCCCCAAAATCCCTAAACCAAGTATCTCCACAACTACTACCTCAACAACTCGTACGGACTCACCTGCTTCAATCCTTCTCAATACCCATGTTCAAAACTCCAAGCAAGGTAAATTCACTTATTATCAAATATATATTCGTGCGTGTATATATATTTATGTGTACTTGATTATAACTAACACGAGTTGATCGGGAAAGTAGTGAAATTGGAGAAAACGTATCTGGGTTACGAGACATGGTTGCCAAATCCACCGAAAGTGGAGAAACCTCGATCTGTGTATAATGCGGCATCATTAGCTTACATTGGAGACTGCATATACGAGGTTTGTATTCGTTATACTTTGGTATTGATGATTATTTAGCATCTGTTTGTGATGTTCACCAACTGTTTGTCTTAATTCCCTGACACCAAAACAGTTTATAGATGACTTAAATTATATATTTTTATTGCATGCATGAGATTCTGACAAAACATTACGCTAGAACATAGTTCCGCTCTACCTTATTTTAGATTACTGTATTGAGGAAAATATCAAATATAATAGTACTAGCTTCATATGTGTTGAAGTTACAACAAGTAATGGGTTTCCTTTCGAAATACTATAAAACCTTTAATGGCCTTTCCTGGATGGGATGGCGGGCATTTCACGTTTTGGGTTTCATTCGCAATGTCAAGTTCACAATTAGATAGTGTGTTTAAGATAATTAATCTCATCTGTTCGCACAAACCATATATGGACAAGAAAATTCGCAATGTAATCTCATCTGTTCATCTAAGGCTCTAAGCAAGGTACATTTCCCATATGAGTATGTGTTCTGCGGTATTTTGTGATAATGCAGAAATAAATGCAGCACTTTCCCACTATGCAACATTCTTCCAAAGGGATAAAGTGCCAAATGGAAGTAGAACGATAGCATATGTACATGGAAATACTGTTATTTAATGAATCAACTTTTAAAACATGGAAAGACAGTATTCTCTTTGGGCATTGCATAAGCCACTGTTTTTTGTATAATTGGGAGGGCTAGAATAAAATGTTTGGAATATATTAGAGCAAATAACCCTAACTTACTGATGGAAAATTGTGGTAAAATACAGAATTAAATAAACATATAAAGGATTGGAAATATGTTGTCAGGAGGACTCCAGCAGATCACAGCAAATTGAACTTTGATGGATCTGAGAAGAAGGATATGATACGACGTTTGATGAATTATTAAGAACTTGTTGGCTCTGTTACATGGACTCTCCAAAAGTAGTGAAGTACCCGTGTCGGACACGTATCCCTCGGACATGGGTATGGGATATGTGTCCAACACTTTTGGTTGGACATGTACTTTAAAAGCATATCATATCATTTAATGACATTATATTATTACTTTAAAATGAGTTAAATGCCTACATTGAACATTATTAGATAAAAACATTACTTTACTCTAGAAAATAAAAAAAAAATAATTAATAAAATGAATATTTAGCTGTGTCCGTGTGTCCTCCTGTTTAGAGATTTGACACGTCCGACGCATGGATACATACCCGAGTCCATGTAACATAGCTTGTTGGGAAGCATCTTGCATGGAGCGACAGGTTAAATCTGCAATATAAAAATCATATTGTCAACTGGCAAACCAGATACTTACTCATCATTACAAACGTTTAGAGGTTCAAATTTATAAGTCAAAAAGGACTCAAAAGTTGCCAATCAATGTACTTAACAAAAGGCAATCTACATTATTATTGAATCAGGTAGTTTGTAATTCTCTCATGATCCTAAAGTTATCCATAACACACCTAGTCAGTCTTTTCTTAGTTGCTGCTAAACATATCTTCTTACCGAATTTTTGATAGTTTTACGAATATTCTGGAACTTTAACTTACGAAATCTTATTATTGCAGCTTTATGCTCGGAGACACTTTTTGTTTCCTCCGCTTAATATTGAAGAATACAATGATCGTGTGATGGCTGTTGTACGTTGTGAGGCCCAAGTATGAAATGTTCTTATTCCTTCTTTTGTTGATATTTAGATAAAGTCAGCAATAAGTTTATGTATACATGTATATATATTGTAGATAATTTTATTCTTTATTTTTCGGTTTGTTTCAAATTTTTCGAAGAGTGAACACCTTTCCCTTGAACCTGGAGCTTGCGTCAGTCTAAATAGATTAGTATTATGGTATGGAACCACTATCCACAGTGGATGTTCTTTGGGAAAATGTAGAATGATAATCCTACCTAGACAAAAATAAATAAGCATCTTTAGGCGCTAGGGTATAATGTTGAGCCGATTAAACGATAAAAGTCCGTCTTCTTTTTGCCCAACTAAGTTATTTAATTTGTAACTTTTGCTGTAGATGCTTATTTTCCCTGCCCTCTGTGTGTGTGTGTTGGGGGGTGGGGGACCCTTTCCTTTCTGTACCTTCCACCTACAAATATGTTTATTCTTCTGTTTATAGGATTAAAGCTGTTGACGTAGAATTAACACACTCATCTGTTTTGTGTTAGAGTTCAAGCACCATCTAAGAGAGTTTCGTGTTTGATAAAGTTATTTTTTATACATTCTCTCTCTTTAGACCACTTTTTCTGCTCATGGGACTTTAAGATAGTAGTTAGTTGCTTGGCTAGCAAATAGATTAACCTTTTTCTTTCTGTCTTTCTTTCTCTTTTATTTTTTTATTTTCTTTTCTCCACTTGAATTTATTGGTTTTTTCCTGTGAAAATAGTTTGAATATTTAATAAAATAATAATAATAATAATAATAGTTTGAATATTTGTGTTTGCTGAGTTTCAGGATGCATTGCTCCAGAAAATTCTCAATGATAATTACTTGTCAGAAGAGGAAAGGTTAGTATTATAATTTATGCTTCGCATAGGTCTTTCTTGATATGTTGAATTGGCAAATGACTTTATGACCATAGTTACCTTTCATATTGTGAATAATTTAAAAAATGGTCAGAATTTTGAACACTAGAACTAATTTTATGAATATCATTCATGGTAGAAACAATAAATGAATGACATCTGTAGTCTAGCCCTAGTTGTGGAAGCAGATTTTTTTTTTCCGCACAACTGACCCCATTTGTTTGGGATAAAAGCAAGGACGATGAGGAGGAGGAGGATATGAGTTACTTCTGGCTCCTTGAGTTTTGGGCCTATGTTACCACTACCAGAGTTGTCAGTCTTGGATATTAAAGTTTTTAATACACGTCTTACAATAAAGATCTGTTTATATTGTTGTGCTAGTCAACAAAAAAGAATCAGTTGGCCACCTTCTCTTTCATTGTTTGGTTGCTCAAGTTCTTTGTGGTTTCCTTTTCTTCTTTTAGAGAATCGTCCAGGTTATATGCAATTTGATTTTAGGTATGCTGAGTTTCTGGTGTGTTAATTTGCCTTAACAGGCAATCTGATTATATGAAACATGGCTCCTATTTTTTGCTTTTGTGCAAGTTTAGAGAGCAAAATAGAAGAATCCTATCGAGAACCTATAGCTCCTCAATTTAAAAAACTCAAGAATGTCTTTGTCTTTGGTGCTCCCTATCTGTCTCTATTGCTGAATTCTCTTTTTTGGCCTTCGTAAATTGTTATTATTTGGCTCACATAAGGCTGTTCTATACCTCGAATGTTCTTGGCCTCAGCTTTGCTTTCTTTTACTAAGAAAACATTCTTTCATTTTTATTTTCTTTCTGAAAATGGATATCTAGATCAAAGAGAAAAGGGAAAAACTCCTTCAGAGAATCTCCAAATTTCTTCAACAAGGTGGACTGGTTGAGGGCGGAAGTGGATTAGTGAGACTTTTAATAGGTCATAGAACAAAAAATACCCATGAGAAAAAGAAAAAGTAGGTTATGACTTGAAAAATGTGAAAAGTGATGGCACAAAAAGGAATTTGTGACTCTTATGCATTACCTGCTTTTCAACGGCTATCTAGTAATTTGATGACAACATGCTGAGGCAGGTTCTTAATGTATTCCCAGTGCATAGTTGATACAAGAAATACACCAGAAGATACATGCCGCACTGAGTTTTAGAAGGTTTGTATGAAAAATGCCCATCAGAAAAGAAAAAATGGTTGGATAATGAAAAATGTAAAAAGAAGGGAGAAAATGGAATTCATGGCTTCACATAACCCCTGGCTTTCCAATACGAATTAAGTGATATGATAACAAATGCCGGAGTATCTTAAAATATTGCCAACGCACAGTTGATACCAGTTATGCAAGATGACTCAGTATGGTATGCAGTTCCAACGTGTTGCCCCAAACTCTCACATTGCTCAAAATTTGGATTTGTAAACAGTATATAATTATTCCTATTTTAAAGTTTATCAATTAGCTTGTTTCTAGGCCATCAAAAGTTTTAAATTTGATATCCTGGGACGTGAATTTCTTGATTTGTGTTGCATAATTTTAGAGTCCTTCAACTTAAATTTACTATGGAGAGCTTTCTTTGTTTATTTATTTCCTATTACTTCAAAGACCTGCTGGGCTCTTCCTATGATCAAGTCTATGCACATCGTCATCTGCAATTTTTTTCAGAATACCTCTGTAAATGTTGTGCCTTTTATGTAAATCTTTATAAGAGTTATCTGCTCAATTTGTTTGAAATTGCTGATGGGGAATACTCCACCGTTCTGATCATATGCAAAGTTTCTAATTTAAATCGTGGAATCTGATAAGCATAAACTGCAGGGGTGTACTTCGGTGGGGGAAAAATATTGGCGCAGCTAAAACACGGCCCAAAAAGCGTGCTGGTGTAGCAGTTTATAACAGAGCATCTTCACTGGAAACACTAGTCAGTTCCTTTATGCCTTTTGTTCTCTTGAGATCTTATATTCGAAATGGAACCGTAAACTGGTTCAACTGAGCGCTTGACTTGAAACACTAGTCAGTTTGCTTGTGGCTGGCGGTTTTCTTGGGATCTTCTAATCTAAAAAGAAACATATTATTTCATTCCTGGAAGGATGATATCCAACAATAGGTGTTTGTGTTTAGCTTTGTTGAAATGCATCGAGTATTTGCGTGGTTGTTTATGTTACTCAGTTCAAAGTTCAAACAAACAAATAAATGTTGATCACATCATTTTAAAGTGAAAATGCAAAATGACCATACAAACACTTCCTGCGACAGAATGGCAGAGATTTAGGAGTATTATTTTCTAGTCATACTATGATTTCAGCTGAGCAACCTTGTGATGTTCAAATATTTATTTAGTTAGCTGATTTATTGATCATTTTTCTACTTGTCTTCTGATATCTGCCGAAGAATCCTGAGCTATAATATAGCAGAATTATTTGACTTTGTTTAAATAATGTTGTTCTGTGACTTTATGTAGATCGGTTATCTATACCTGACAAATGTGAAGCGTTTGGAAGAAATCATGCTGAAGTTGGGATTCTCGTCTGGTGCTTCTACCCAGTTTATCCTAGAGGAAGCAAATAGTAAGTTAACAATATCTAGAGTGCACATCTTCTTACAGTTCTTGGGCATTCCACATATTCTGTGGTATACCTGCTACTATATACTCTTATATTACATTTTTCCTTGCACATATTCATTTTGTTTTATTATTTTTACTTGTGGGGGAGACACTGCACATATTTGTGTTAAGGTTTTCTTTTTCTCATGCTTTTGCATCCATGAATGTTTCCTGGTTATTCTTTATTTTCATGTGTCTTGGACTCTCTTTGTTTTCTGGTACCGTTGGCTATGTTGAAACTGTTCATCTAGAATGTAGTGATATAGGTACTGTAGAAGGACATCGCAACTGGCAAATAATCCCTTATGAAAGAAAGAAGGGAGGGGTGGGGGGGTTTCTTTTTTCCCTTTTAGTTTCCGTGTTACCCCATACTCATCTTTCTGATATCTATGGACTTGGGTAAATGCGTTGGGCATGGACTGTGTATTGTTGCCTGATCGAATGAATTCCCAAATCTCATGACAAAGTGAAGTATAATATATCACTTAGCTTGTTTACCAAGGGTGTTTCATTGTATTTGAAAACGGACAGGGAACTGTTACATTTTATGAATCGGGAGAATCCAGCGGCATGAATTGTCAATTCGCTAATTGTTTCTTGATCTTAGTGATATAGGTTCAAGGACTTTGTCGGGTTCTATATTATGTTTCACTCAATTGCAATTTGACTGACTGGTATTTTAGCGTACCTCTTGTCCTTTTCTATTATAGAGAGATACTTGTGTTTATATGAAAACTCATGCTTGTTTATATTCTTAAATATTGCCAAGGGAACCCTTCATGTTATGCTGCTACAAGGTGATCCCTTATATTCTGCTGGGAAGGATTGCAGATATTGCATTTTTGTTGGATGTTGTAGCTTTTCTTCGACGTACTTATATTCAGTTTTGTGGTTGTCCATTGCCAGATGATTGAATGATGATTTCTTTGTCTTCCCTTTTCCTCCAGGCAGGGAGTGAGGATCATCATCTTCGGAAATGGGGGTGAAGACTGGTTTGTGCCATGAACCGGCATGCATGTATCTTTCATTGTCAATTACAGAGCACCCTTTGGTGAGAGATTTCAAAGATTCATTTTTGTATAGAAATTACTCAAAAATCAATCAATATCTGAAGTTTACGTCTTATGCTTTTGTCAGAAACGCTATTTGTCTTGATTGAAATACTACTAATTTGGTAATTCACATTCGTTAGCATTCTAACAAATCAGTCTCTCTCAATTACATATTTGAAAAACTCAACTGAAATTCTGGAGAAATTTGGTGAATAATAACCACTTTTATGTACCCCCGATAAAAACTTTGTTTTAGCATTATCAAAGAATGGAATGATTTGGCCGTCACGTGGTTACAAGGGTATATCTAATGCCCTAATATACTACAAATAAAACAGAATGAAAACGAAAACAAAAACCATGGTATAGGGGAATTATTTGGCTGCTTCTCTTTTCATGTTCACCCTGTTACATTTTGTGCTCAAGTTGCACCACAAATGCATGAGATCAAAGTTCTGGATATGCAAGAGTTTGTGTGTATGCCTTGTGTATATCAATGTATCTATTGTCCATTACTTAGTGTAGAGTGTAATGCCATAAATAGATGTGTGTATATTATTTTATATATGTGTGTGCGCGCGCGTATTCTTCTTGGGGGTTGAGGAGCACGGATGATAGAATGGTTATCGAAAACTTTGGGTGGAGTAAATAGTTGAAGCCATTGGACAATTTGAGGAAAAATAAATTATATTAACAAACCACATATTGTGAAAAACATATGAGCTCAAATGTTGCAATATATTCCTATTTAGAATTAAAAACGTCAATATAACTAGTTGGGCTAATTATTGCTTTATGGAGTGTCAGGATATGAGTTTGTAATTGGGTGAACTTTAATATTCTAAAAGTCTATATAAATAATATAAATAAATAAAAAGTATTCTAAAGGGTTTTTTTTTTTTTTTTTTTTTCCATTCATATCCACCAAGAACCTTAAAAAAATATATTATACATAGTTTTGTACAGATAAGGCAATTGGATTTCAGTAGATCAATAGAGAACCCCACACTGTGGATAGCTGAATAGGCAATTGGGTTTCTGTTTTTTGTATAACTTGCATCTACAAAAAGCTACTACGCACACAAACATTACTGTTCTACTGGATCATGTAGGCCAATTAGACTTGGAAGTTTGGATATGGTTCTCATTAAGAACCTTGTTGAGTATGTGGCAAGCCCATCACATAACAGAGATAGCATTCCCTTTCCCTTTCCCTTTCTCTTTCCCTTTCTCTCTTTCCCTTTCCCTTTCCCTTTCTCAGGAATAAAATAAAAGCCATATTGATAAAGTTTGCGTGGCTAAGGCTGCAGTGTGTATAATGCACACATAGATATAGGTGTTATCCTCATCCTCATCTGCAGTAGCTCCAGTATTTATTTATTTATTTTTCTAAAAGTTGAAGCAGACGAATACACTCATGATATTATGGTTAGCAACGTTTCAACATTTCACCTTTCATTTAAAGATGAGAAATTATACCACCTACTAATGTCCATCTCTGTTACTTAGTTATGATATTTTTGGGATCAAAATTAGGTTTTACAGTTTTGATGTTGAAAGGCATGTGGGCACTAACATAGATGGCATAAGTGCAACTATTGGCCCCCTTGTACTGCCAAAAGACTCAGAATATCTTGGATTAGCCCAATGTGCAACTTAATTCACATGTCCTGACAGTCAATCTCTCTGTAGGGTTGGTTTGTTGAGCGTCCATTGTCCTTGAAGACTGTGACTGTGACTGTGACATTGACCAGCCATCAGCATGCAATGGCCAAGGGGCCACAAAGTCTAGAACATGGGTTGGCCCCACCATTTCCACCATATACTATTAATGTATACTCGTGTGCACATATATATATATATATAGAGAGAGAGAGAGAGAGGTGGTAAGTTTGAGCTGTGGCTCCGCATTAATGCAGTGAAAATGAGGTCTGCCAACTGGAAATCCAGTAGTTTGAAATCCAGTAATTAAAAGAGTTGATGGTGGTTCAACTAAAATTTGTACCCTAGTCCTCAAGGTCAGTTAAGTTGTAGTGTGCATAAGGGAAGTACTTACCTAAAAGCACTACCCCTGATAAAGACACCCAAAGGCCAAAGGTAATATAAAAATAAATAATAAATAATAAAAACCCTTTTCTTATTTTGGGTATTACTTGCTTGTTTTAGATAGGAACTTAGGCAATGTAAATAATAAATATTTATACTTCTAGAAAGTGTTTCCAAATGCATCATATAATTAGAAAATAATCTAAATAATATAACAATCTCTCTTTAGGGAAAGCACTTAAAGGTAAATCTGAGACAAACTTGCCTATATATATGTGTGTATATATATATATATATATATAAATTTGTATGAAAATGCGTAATAATGTTTTTTAATGATACCAGAGCATGAGTCTGCATTTTATCAATGTAAATGGCAAACATTATCATCATCGTTGGCATCTTGTACAATCTATGGTGTGGTCAGAATGCCGTGTAGAAGTACTCATCAATGGGAATAAAGTAGCATAATGTAAGTTAGGTACTTGTCAATGTACTGCAAACACTATATATATATTAAATTAGTTTAGGAATTAGGACTAATGGTATTGGCCTTTGCTTCATCACTATTTTGGTCCATTCCACCGACTCCTAGGTGAAATGCACTTAACACCTAAAACTTTTTCTTCTTCAATGCATATACATAACCATACAGACAGACGTGTGTGTGTGTGTGCGCTTTTTCTTCTTCAATGCATATACATAACCATACAGACAGACGTGTGTGTGTGTGTGTGTGTGTGTGTGAAGGTAAGGTGGAGATTGTTGACAATGCAGACCACACAAAATCATTTTTTTATTTTTAGTTCTATTCCCTTAAACTGGTTTTCTCTTTTCAATAATAGTGAAAATAAAAAATCAGAAATTTAATAAATTCAAAGTTTCTTCATCAGAAGAGTCTGTCATGATCAGCCTCTGACTCGCCCCCATGTAGATATTATTTGTTTTGTACACTATTTTCTCGATCTTCACGGTGGCTTGAATCTTTCTGTCACGATCTCCCAATCTGTGTAAATATTATTCACTTTATACAGTCTTCCGTCTGTGTTTACGATTATTTTCATAATGCGATTTCAAAGTTAAAAGATGTTCACACATATAAATGTTAGCAACTTCTTTTCTCGTTACTATGAGATGTCACATAGTGCCATTGGAAACTTGTAGAAATAAATTATGTGTTTTACCTGATTCTACTACATATGCATGTGTTTTACCTCATATATATTGTTTGGTTCTATTTATGATTTGCCGTATTGTGTGTGACATTTTACACTGACTTTGTCTGAATCCGTTACATCGTCTGAATCCGTTATATCGCAATCGCTATTAATACCACAACCGTGACTGATACTTCAAACCATAGTTCTATTCTCTTAAAATAATTCTCAAAGATAATGAAAAATATATTATTTAAAATTGTTATCGTCTTTTATATATGTATATATATATATAATCAAACAAATGTATTTTTTAATGAAATGGAACAAAAAAAAAGTAATTATTCTTTTTTGACAATTATCTTTTAGATGTAGGTAAGGTAATTGTCAAGAATGATATCTTGATGTTTGCGGGTGTTTGTTTTGGATAGTTGTGTGTCTTTTGGTGATGAATGTGTTTTTTTGTTTGGACAATGGTACCATATTTTTGCCTTGTGTCGCATGACTGTTTTCTTGTCAGATTAAAAAAAAAAAAAAAAAAAAAAAAAATCATTTCGGCCCAAATATTCTGTATATTAATACTTCGTAATATCTAAAAGGCCAAGTAGGCCCTCAACTTGAAAAGTCCACCCCCACGATGACAAATATACAGCTTTGCTTGTTCATATGGGCCCACACTTTCCCTCGAAAGTTCACACAATTAGAGGCCCACTGCGTGATAGTTCTAAGAAGTGTCCCCACCAAAATCACTATCTAGTGTAACTATTTGATGTGGATGGTAATGCATAGCCAAATCCTTCTATATACATATATGTGGCAAACTAGTCCATCCTGTGGGTTACTCCCGTTATTATTTTTTCTCTTAGTAATTTTTGCTGGTGCGTTGTTTCTCAATAAATTTGAAGATTATTTTTTAATTTTTTTCTTTTATTTCATAATTTATTGATCTTTATACGATCATTTTTTACGCTCTTTGTAGATGTCATACGGCCATTTTTTTCTTATTACCAAGTCAAATATATATATATATATATATATGTTTCATCACACTGTTTTAATGGATATAGTCCTTGTTGTCCTACGGTCCCACCAAGATAGCTGATGTGTCATCCTAATCTTGCTGCAGCCTCATAGGTCCAACAGCTTTGGTGATGTGTCATTCTCATCTTGTTGCTCTATGAAATTTGTGATCATCAATAAGTTTAATTACAATTGAAAAATAATTGTAAGGTCGTTGAGTTAGCGTGAATTGTTTGATCGAAAAGTTTTGATTAGTCATATATGTAAAATATAAAAAAGTAGAAAAAGTGAACATGACGAATTATGCAATTTATTATTTTCACCCACTGCAAGGCTCTTTTAAAGAAGGAGATGTTGTACCAATTAGACTAATGTTCTATTGCTTAAACTAATAATTGCTGCATTTTTTTTTGACAAACTATAGGAGGGGGGACTCGAAAACGGCTCAAAGAGTTAGGGGTTCTATCAACTAGGTCATTTGATAATGCTATATAGAGCAGCTATTTGACCAACCATGGTAATGTAGCACAGTTAATATTCACAAGAACCCACTATGGGTCACGTCTTGGGCTTGTCCTGTTGACTGAGCAGTAGTGGAAATGGTTCTTAGTATTCATGAATGAGAGATCTGGATAATTAACCAGACATGTCATTATCCTTGAGAAGAAGAAGAAGAAGATGAGATGGCTTTTATAATTTGTTAAAAATGTTGTTGAAAAGGGAGTGAGTGGGGTCAATATCTACGAAGGTTGCTGACAGAAAACCACAAAAAATGTGCTGCATGTTGGCCCAATTGGAAAAAGTTTACAGCTAATCATCCAAAATTTGTGTGTATTATGCATATATTGATTGATACAGACATATACATGATACATTAATTGTAGTGAGTTGGATGTCTTAATTCCTT